ATAAATATGTAGGGCAGAGCTTAGCATAGTTGATTAACCGCTCGATTTGGGGTACCCGTCTTGGTAAGTAAGCCCACAGTAAAATAACACCACCTCTTTTAGTGATGTTGTTTTTCTGTTGGTGAGTAAGGTTCTAGCGCTCCACTGCGCTGGAAAATCAAAAGGCTTAAAGTCATTATAGACAGTCTGGTTTCAGCCCTGCAATTCTGTATTTGTATTCAAAGGACAATGCCAGAAGTTCTATAGAGGTTTAACCCACCCGATAAAAATGGTGTACACGAATGCGATAAATGACTTTTCATAGCTGTAATATTAGGAATCAAAATAGTAAAGTTCTAAATTCTCTAAAAGCTGTGGTTATTGAATAATATACTTACAAAGAGTACAATTATCATACGTTTCTCGAGCTGCAATTTGAACAGAAAATTGGAATTTCTATAAATTATTATTCAACAGTGTCCATATTGTAGGTCTGATAGTGTTTAAACGACATGCCTTTGTATTCTATCGACACATAAATAACAATTTATGCATCTCAACATGGTTCCAAATCACAAACGACAATGTCGTACAAATCCTTTTGTTTGACGGAAATGTCAATCAAAAGGATATCAATCCAGAGTAACGTTTAGTTTCACATATTTACTACCACTTAATAATGTGTATGCGCATTAAAAATACAAGGTACTATAATCGTTAAACTTTTTTATAAACATAAATTAATTATATTTATAACCGAAATGCTTATTTTATCCATAATATTAAAAATAGAATGATATTTTGCGAAAACTTGACTGGTATTTTATTGTTTGTCGTGAAACAAAACGCATATGCCATGTTTTCGTTCTTCTCCTAACGGAAACAGTAGATACAAATTATTTTAATATTTATTTCGTATCCGCCGCTTTTACAAAGTAATAATTAAATCGGTACGAGAAAAAAAGTCGTATATATTTTTTCATAAATTTAATATTACTGTATATGGTGGGTCAGAATCTGTCATTGTCATTTGAAATCATCGTGAAAAGTTTTGTTTATTTGTTTGTACTTATTACAGAATAGCACGGCAGGCCGGCAAGGTGAGGGTTGGATCATCATCATCATCATCAACAGCCTATCCTAGTCCACTGCTGGGCATAGGCCTTTTCAATTGCATGCCACTCAGATCGATCTTGGGCTACTCGCATCCAGCTCCTGCCAGCCACCTTGCGCAAATCGTCACTCCATCGTGCCTGAGGATATCCTACACTACGTTTGCCTAGACTGTACATGCCAGGACTCTATACTGCCAGGACTGTATATTTTAGTTACTTTCATAGTATCTTATCATACGGCATTTTGCTCTGGGGAACAGCAGCTGATATTGAAAGTATATTCATTTTACAAAAAAGAGCTGTGAGATCTATTTATCAATTGAGTAGCCGAACATCTCTTAGAGAAAAATTTAAAGAAATTGGCATTTTGACTGTTGCTTCTCAATTCATTTACAATTGCATACTCCTCGTTAAAAATAATATCAATTTGTATATCAAACACAGTAGCGTGCACAATTTTAACACAAGGAATAGAAACAAGCTTGCATTGCCACCCTACAGGTTACAGAAGGTTTACCGATCTTTTATGGGTCAAGGTATACATTTTTACAATAAAATTCCTGATGCTGTTCTTGAGTTACCCATAAATGAGTTCAAATGTCACATTAAAAGTTGTTTACTTAAGAAAGGCTATTATACTATTAAAGAATACTTGAATGACAAAACTGCATGGCTGTAACTGCAAAATTGTTTTGTATTTGTTTGCAGTGTCGTACAGATAAATTACCTTAACTCTAAGTAACTATTTTGCAGTTTGGTTTGAGTGGTTATGGGTAGTCATGCTCTCTTAAAAATCTCTTCGGCGGTGTCGTGTGAGGCGGGTCGTTGCGTTCCATAAAATATGGTTGAGCGAAGCGATGGCTGGTTCATGCGTCATGCTCGTGAACGGGTGCTGCCAGCGGAGATGAGTCTGCTCTATACAACTTTATTATTGTAATGATAATTATTATTAAATTTTTGTATTTTACATTACACAACTTGTATTTATACTGTATGACACAGCAATCAAAATGTAAGTGAAAATTTATTATTTATCTGATAAAGATTTAATGGCGGTGTGGATTCTGGTATGAGTTACCTCATATTGAAGTCATTTTTCAATTTGACGACTCTGTATACAATACAGGGAGAAAAAAACAGCCCTTGCTGAGTTTCTTGCCGGTTCTTCTCAGTACAAGGTCTCCCGCCGTAGATTTGCGAATCGATGGCGTATCTGTTCGACATTCACAAGTGCTTGTAACAGCCTAGACTGAATAAACGATATTGAATTTTTTTTTTTTAGACGCGGTCTCTCAGTGTGGATGGAGCGGCACATTGATTTTTTTCTACTACTGGACTCAACATTATTCAGGTGGGGTGTGACGTGGACTTATAATAACTGCATCTTGTGAGCTACAAATGTGAGAGTAACAATAAAAAAAAAACATGTATACATCTGATGCTGTTTCGTGCATATTTAAATTATAAAAAGTCGTTGCGACAGCTCAGAATACAGAATCTGAATGCGACAGTAAATACTATGTAGGTCAATAGTTAAGAACGCAATTGACACCGAATACATATTTATAACGCAGCAATTATACAATTTCGAAATTTTATATATAAGCTAAGCTAATGTTTGATTTGCACATTAAAAATATTTTTTATTGTTAAATTTTATATATAAACAACACCTCATTCATTGGTCGTATTTTAAAATATTTGCTTATAATAGCTTCCTTTAACATGAGAATTGTTAAAAGATCAAAATTATACTTATGCTTACAAGTGCCGTATAATTAATGTTGGCCTGTTATGGAGAAGCTATAAAAGGGTATCTCGTTGGACAGCCGTCAACAAGGCGGCGTGTCGTTGAAAAAACGTAGTATGTACTTATTCAACAAGAAATTACTAGTCGATAATATGCCTTATTATCATAGCTGACTACCTAGAAATTAAAGTTCATTTTGAAATTCCTGTCAAAAGGCGAGTCGCGGGACGGGGGGGGCGGGCCGGTAATCGGCCTTAATTACATGGTTATACATCATCGAAAACCAACAAAGGTTTGGGAAATGATCGGCCACCCGTGCGCAGTGAAATTGTACAAGCTTCACCTGCGGATATTTTAAGTGGGTTTTAGAGGTCACTGATGAAGGCACTGCGGTAACTGTTCAGTCAAGGCCCAGTTTATCAAAAATAAATATATTAAGTAAGTAACTATCTATAAGAGCAGTAGTGTAGATGTTTGTAGCCAGGCAGCCATTCATAGGCAAGATAGTTTGCATTCCATCTCTACAGTTTGTACATATGTAGTTTCTTCCCATTGTCCGGATCTTTCTGCATGAAGCTTATATTAGGTATGGCAGTAGACCATGTCTGCCTTTAGTAAAAAGGCGCTAATTTCAATAACCAATTTGAATACCTTCTCTCTTTCATTCATCTGTTTTAGATGGGTCTGCGTTGTGTGTATCATTAACAAGTATCCCGTGTTGTTCTGGCACAAAGGAGCCGCACTGAGGATGCGTATCGTGGCTTCGTGCCTGCGCGGGCGCCGATCGTATCGCCAACCTCGTTATTGGAACACGCTTTGTTGGCCAAAGCTTTCGAACAATCGAGAATTGAGAATGAGAAAAATGGAAGAATCCAAATGCGGGCTCGGTATGGTGCTTTGTAGAAACTGACGCAGATTGATTGAATTCGAGTACTTACGGATGTCTATTCATAACATTACATGTCACATTCACATCCCATAGGATTGGGCAATCTATCTAAGCTAGACGGATTAATATACATAAAGGTAATTTTTTGCGCTACATTTTCGGTAGCTTAAAGATTATTATCCAAAAAATTATAAGTTGACCTTCCCGTAGCCTGCAATTAGTCTGAAATTTTGACATAGAGTGGTTATTTTCTTTTAGTTTTCATTTTGAATAGAAGTACCCGTCTGGGGAAGTAACCTCCACTTTAATGAAGAACATGGTTCAATATATTATATCCTTGGTAGTGTTGTATCTGTTGGTGAGACTACCCAGTGGAGTCCTTCAGCACTTCACTGGGGATTGGGTTCAGGCCCGAAAGTTAAGGAAGGCTGCAGCGCCACTCTTTTATGGCGCTTCAGCCAACAGCTATTTCGCGACTAGATTTAAAGTGTACATTCAGCGCAATGTATAATAAAAAAGTAAAGAAAACTAGTGTGCGAAGAAAATATCTGAGATAGGGCCAAAATAATACATTCTATACTTATGTACAGTTGTTCAAAATAAAAATTATTATTGTAATCTTTTCCATTCTTATCCAATCATGTATACAGCTGCCGTCATAAATATAAGCGCAGGCGCAGGCTCGTGCACCGACTTGGGAGCGAGGTGCGATGCACGCCACAGATACGCATCCTGCCGCACTAACTTCGCTCGCGTACGTAAATACTCGATTGCATCGCGCCAACACTTTACTAAGTTTAAATCGTAAAGGTGATTTAACTTTCCAATAGGTCCCGCAGAGACGCGCACTTGATTTGTGTAGGCGATTAAAAGCTTTAAACAACGTTTATCTATTTAATTAAAATAGTGTTTGTAAATGCAAAACTTTTAAATAAACAAAAAGTTAAGCTTAGTTTCGCTTTGGATTGAGGAAAATAATTGTTTTTGGGAGGCTCTATAAACCCGCACTTTTTGGCAACATTAGATTTCAACGTGCTACGCATTGGTATCTAAAAAGTGGACAAAAAATAACCTGACTTGGATCTCACTCAATATTATATATTAACCTATTGACTACCTTAATTCAATTTCAATATTATTGAAAGTTCCGGTCTGTGGAGTCCGAACTAAAACAATGCGCTATTCATCACGTCAATTCCCATCTTTGCTGGGTGGGTACGTCGTTAAAAACGAAAATTATTCTGCCAGCGCAAACCACGATTATTACCTATCGGGCGGTGTTTGCCCCAGGCAACGCGACTTGCTTATTGCAGGATGATTGAAGAGCCCACCACCTCCGAAGCGGACTGGATGCTGTGCGAACGAGATACGGTATCCCACCGCCTGTGAGAAAGTGAGATGGAAACAGCTCAACATCTGATTAGCATCCCAATTACAGCGCGGGCGCAGTAGGATCGAATCTTCACGTTTAGTGGTGTGCAGAGTTGTTAGCTGTTATCGATTGTGTAGGTTTGAATAGCTATACAATTATCGTTAAATGAGTGAATTTTATGAAATGGTCACTACCATACATTTTAATTATGATATGGTAGAATTAAAGCTGCAATATAATTATTTATGAATACCTTAAAAAATAAATGATATTTGATAATATACAAAGACATTAATTTATTTTATTTGGCACTGTTCATTTACTAACTAGACATTAATGGCAAACAATCATTCTCCAATTAATGATTCTGTCAATAATTACTTAAAGATAAAATTAAAATTAAATTAAAATGAAAGATTGCTTCGGTACTTGAAGATTTATTTTAACTGACGCTAAATCGAAGAGGAACCAACCTCCAGCTCGATGACTACGTTTTATTGAGTAAATTAAACGAAACCATGCATTAAGTTGAAAATCTAAGGACAAAATATCATTGGTGATTGTCTTGGGACAAAGATCAACAACAAAAGAAATAACCGTTAATTTAACATAAGAAACACATTTCTTTAATAACTTTGTAATTATTTAAGTGTATTTCGGTTGTTACAATAATTCGAAATGAGAAACATCGACGTTGTAATTTCAATATTGTATGTAATGACAGCCCTGCTAACAAGGATGGCGGCCGGTCGGACGCGGGCGTGGCTGGGCGCTCGTGGCGAGATTACATCGGCAGCGGCAAGGAAATTTTAAATAAACAAGAAATTATGAGTCGACCTCAGATTACACGGCTCGATCGCACCGGTAACTAGGGAAAATTACGACATGACCAATTATTATTATTGCTGGCGAATGCTCATGCCCCGATGCGTAGGCAAAAAAAGTTAAATTTAATTTAATTCCAAACTAACAGTATTAAAATAAAACGAACTTTTGCTAAACCAAAAATCTAAACATTGTTATTGATACTGACACAGAATTATCAAGTGCGTATTAGATTTTTTTTCCATATTTTTTGAACTGACGATTATATTTGCTGACGCTTTTAGAATACGAATAATACAATACATGATACACAAATCAATTGAAAAAATTAAATGACTGCAACTTTGTAAAGCACAGGTTCGGCCTTACATGGAGTACTGTTCTCATCTTTACCTTGGAACCTCAGTACCTCTGGATCGCATCCAGCGCCGAGCGGCTCAAATTGTTGCCGACCAGGGATATTTTTTTGATAAGTTGAATATGATTTTCTTTAAAGCCCCGAATTTATCTAACATTAAAACTTTAAAATCTTTTATGACATACATCTAGTTATCCTCAAACTTTATCTTTTTCAGACTCTCAGATTCCTCAGTGTAATATTATATGGACGTGATGCAAACAATAAGATGTTTTATCTATCTGTGGTTTCATATAACCCTTTCTCAAGCTAACGTATAAGTAATGCAATGCAGGTTTAATAAGAAAATTATGTAAGTTCGTTATAATGTATTGAACGTCGTGTATTTGTTTTTATATAATTGTGGTAAAAATTAAAGCAAGATTTTCTTCGCGGTATCATTAAAGAAAGCTTTTAAACCAGATATAGGTACTTACTTTTCAACGGTTGTTATTGTAAATGAAATTCGTGTATGACCACAAAAACAGAATGAAATTTTCACGTTTATGACGAGTCCAGTCTAGGAATTCATCAATGAGAATAATAAATATTCGTTTTTATAGGTCAACAGGCAAGATGTGACAAGTCATTTAAATGAATATTAAAATAATTCGTTCATTGTATGTTCTAAAAATGGGATAAGAATCATAGTGCGACAGATATAGACTGATATTTGTGTCGACGACCCAAAAAGTATAATGTAACGTTCCAAAACTGTTATGATTGCGCTCGTAAATTACTTTGTATAATATAAATTGTACAAAACGCTAACAGTTGGGAGATGTACGCGGAGACTTTATGGCTTTCCATCCAACGAAAATAAAATCACAGTTATTTACGAATGGTATTATATAATAAACCCGAATGAAATTCTCGCGCGCATGCATATTAGAAGAAATGGTAAACATTTTCGGATTTTTATAGGATTTTAAATAATTTTCAGTGCTTGTTTACAAATGGACGAGGTGAATGCATCATTTACTTTTAAAAGAAGTTAAAACAAACAGTTTCGTTGTATTTCAAAACTGAACTACACGAGCTTTTTTCTAAAATAAAATTATTTCTTTCTATATCTTTTTCTATCACCGCCAACCAGCCAGCATTGTGTAAGGTCTGAAAGATCAGTAAAATTTTCCTAAGCGTTCATTAAGCAGTTTCGTAAAACAATGACGAGAGGGAACCATCTCTGGGCCTGCCTGAATACAAAACCAATTTGACGTTCCTCATTACGCGGACCACAATGTGCGCGCGGCTAACTAGTTCCGTGCGTTCCGCTGTTATTATGTTAATAGAGCTAGTTTCAAGAGCCCACGGATACCTTTCTGTGAGTAAGAACGTTAAACTATGTAACCACAGTTCCAATTATACAACTGAGAACGCTTTTCTTGCATTTGAAAACGTTTTTGTGAATGTCCTGATGTTGCTTAATCAGTTAAAAGACAATATTCGGCTATAAAAATAACAAATGCCTGCTGGTCTAAATTATAATCCTGATTACACATAAGTTACCCTAAATACGCTGCCGCGGTTAATTACAAAGAATGTTCTGACGTTTGAATAAGAAAATTTTAGCTAAAACATGTTTCATAAAATGTTTGACGTTGATTTCTAGTTTTTAGACAATTATGGTACAAGTTAAAATATCATATCTGACCAATTTATCGTAGAAGAAGTTGGGTTAACTACAAGAACATATTATCGATAAATCAAAGTATCATAATAATGGGTTTTAAGTTAAGATAAGGCTTGTCAGCGCCGAATAAAGCTCTTCAAAGAGCACGAAATGCAAACAGAGGACATTGGATGATACTAATCAAGAATATTAATAACCCGTCAGAGACGGGGCCCATATCAAAGACGGCCGACATCACATAAATCCACTTAAAATTATCATAACGAGTCTGTTTTGTAACAATTTCTGGCTTTCTAAGAAATTAATAACGACAGCCATAAAGGCAGATTTACTGCTCCAACCAAAAGCGTATGCGATCTTCCTGTAACACGGTTATAAGTCGCCAAAGGAATTAATTAGGTGTTGTTCGATGAACCCGTTGAAAAATATAGCGAAGGTGGATCCCCTGAGCGGTGATTAAAAGTGTAATCACTATCATAAAAGAGTCGCGATGCACAAGACTGAAATAAAAACCTGGCAGGCCGCTCGTTTGTAGGCAGAACATAAATAGTAATGGCCCCCGTTAGAATCGTAGACGGTATTTCTGATTTAATGTCGCTATCTATCCCTTGTTCGAAACAATTCAACTCTAGAGGAGTTTTATAAAATATTGGACATTAGGAAAGAAACATTACAGATACTTTGCATCGTAGGAAAGGTATATGAATACATTAATACTAAGATTTCAAAAATACTTTTACTCATATCTCAAATCTTGCCTAGGTAGGTACTTATAAGAAAATATTATTATGAATTCCATTATTTTGCATACAATAAAGTAAAATTTGATGTTGTAGTAAAGTAATTACTAATAATCAAGTAAGTAATAAACCAACCGAGAACCAAATTCTCTATCAATCGTATATGGACCTGTAACATTATTTTCATTGTAATAAATTAAACCAGTGCTCAATGGTCATGTTCATTAATAACTAATCAAATCATATTCAAAACTCGAACATGTAAATAATTATAAAATCTAGTTTTAACTCTCATCGATGTAATTACCTTTAGTCTAATTTGTTTATTGACTACTTATGTATTATCAAAAAACCCTTTTGTCAATAATGTCCACCTTTTACTTAGTGGGCATGTAAGCCCTTTAAAAATCACTATAGGTACCTATTGCTCCATTTCAAGGGTAGTTCCTGCTTTTAAAAGAATGTAGGTACTCGAGCATAAAAGGGTGCTGTAAAGCTTTCAATACCTTCGCGTAATTGAAACTACCTAATCTCTTTCTTTCTCGATAGTTTTTAATTAACTTTTCAAACTGTCAAAAATACACAAGAACAAACATAAGTCAGAATAAAAATTGAGGGAAATATTTAAATGATACTCACAAAAAAAAATTGGTTAGGATTATGTTTTTTTAAGATCAATCACAATTTTTTTGATGATCATTTAAACATGTCCCAATAATTAATAACTAAATGTTAGAACATATTAGGGTACACTCAAACTTTAAGTACTGAACTGACCTGTTACATTTTTTTTTGTTTTAGGGACTTTTGTACTTGTCCATCCCCATCGTAACCTGACCATACAATTTTCTTAAAATTACTTAACTATTACATAAAATTTTTGCTACCATATTGCAAAGCACACCAGCCTCCTCGCCTCCTCCGATAGGGGGTTGGCTAGGATGCCCTGCAAAATGCCAGTTTCCAACCTATTAATTTTAAGGATGGCGAATGCATGACTTCTTTCCGCTTAATAAATAGAAAATGGAACTTTATGCAGATTTTTCATTTCTATCAACGATAATAATATTGTGATTTCTATTTAAAACTTCCATTTACATTTTGTTGACTTTTAACGACGATATTAAATATCGTTAGTTTTTAAATATCCAATCGAAGTTACGGTGGATTTGTCTCGTGAAAATGTACGTAGTTCTTATCTTAAAGTTTAACTGTGTTACTTCATACTGTCACTCTTCTTCTATTTAATTCAAACTGATTTGGACGATGGATGGAGTAGTGTACTCTGTAGTAGTCGAAAGTTGTGTCTATATTCTTTTACATTGGTATGAGTCAGATAGAATCAATCCTATTCAAATACTTGGGTGTAAACTGTGATAGAAAATTGATTTTTCACCTTTTTACTGAGGCTCAATATCTGACCAAGTCCTTTGGTGCAATGTGATGCTTAAGGTGTGATCCCACGATGTGTGTTGTCGCGGGCAAGGCCGCTCCGCGCAGGGTTGCCAAACGTATGACAACTCTAATGTTTGAGTTTTAGCTGTCTCTACATGATATGAGGTAAATAATAATCTCGTACACTTTGACATGAGATTTGAACAATGTTGACTGTTTGGGTGATGTACACAAACCAAATATTATCAGAAAGTAAATAAATGTCCAGTTCACAAAGGATCGACTATGTAAGTACAGCTTCATTATGCCATCACAAAGTGTACGAGATTTCTATTTACCTCGTGTCGTGTAGAGAGACTGCTAAATGTCAAACGTTAGAGTTCTCTTAAGTTTGGCAAGCATGCGCCGCGCGGCCGTGCCTGTGACAACATAGGCCGTCGGATAGCACCTTTAGGTATTCATCTTAAGTAGTGACAGTTGACAAAACGTAAATTTACAATTACGACCTAAAAACAAAGCACCAATCAGGATTTTCATAATCAGAAGAAGCTGTTGATGAGTATAAAAAACATGTTTCCGAAGTCATCAACAAAAATACTCACAATATTGGTTTAGTCATATGAAAAAGTGCAGTTAGCATCAATCGAAGGTGTTTTTTTTTTCAAAACCAGTAAGTTTATTCTTTGACAATCAAAAACTTTTCAACATTTCTAGCAAAATTAAGTGTTCCACACGCAAGTCGATATGGGCGCTAAAATTTTTTAACTTATCTATCCACCGCTTACGTTTAATCATTTTCGAATCTTCTACGCGCGATTCTTTTGGAAAGTAAAATTTCTTAAAATAAAGTATGTACATGGCGCATACATCTTTTAAGGTTTTGTTTAAACACCAATCTTTAAATGAATTAGTTAGTAACAAAGCCATTAATTGAAACAGAATGCGAAGAACGAAAAGAACTCGCAAAACGGCATTATGATTTCAAGAAATGTTTTAGGCACGGATCGCGTAATTTCACAGACAAAAAACTAAGGAACGTCTGTTGTGGTATGGCAACCAAGAATATCTGATGGAATTTTACTTATAAACAGCATTAATTTGTAATTAATAACTAGGTACCTACTAATATTATGAGTAATATCTATCACATTTTTAGTTAGTTGACTATAATGGTTTTGAAACACTTTTTATTGTTATAATTTTTATTTATTAAGCATGTAGTTAACTGCTTGATGTTCAAATATTACTAGAAAAAATTCCAAGCGAACTAGGCAGCGGACGGGACTCGAACCCGCAAGGGTGCGGGAATGCTATCCGAGCAATGCACTGACCATTATGCTATGTATGACTCTTTTTATTGCTAAATACATAATTATGTAAAGAGCTTACAGAAAGTTTGGATAATTGTGAACGATTATAAAATATCTACCTAGTCTGGAGTGGAGAAGCTTTCTATATTATAAAGCAAACGAAATATACCTAGAATAAATTCAAAATTTAAAACATATATGTTTAAATCTAACGAAAAGTTTACTAGAATTTAAAACTTATTTATTTGAGTCGGCTCACTTTTTCTGAAACGCCAATATCGATTGAAGTTCCTTCGGGACGTCGTTAAATCAATATTTATGTAGAAATACGAGACTGCAGCTTTTTATATGTTATCTGTGTACCTAAAAATTATTTCCTTTAACAAAAATAAACGTTGCACCCCCGATTTAGGATCCATATTTCTTTAACCGAACCGAAGATTCCCGATTGTTACGACCGACTGGGAGAGCTAGTTTTTCTTACATCCCATCAACAACGTGTATTTTGTTACAACCACGTGAAGTTTTACAGCTGCTTCATGTTACCGTATTTTTTGTTCGCCATAACTCATTTCTACTCATTCTATGCAGTAAAAACTGTCATAGGACGTAATTAACAATATATATATATATGAAAAGTACTAGTCATTACGGACACAGAAAAAGGGTATCAATTTTGTTTTTAAGTGAAACTTCTTTTATGTCGGGGTTTAAATGGAAAAATTCTATGGAAAGGATAAAACGGAAATGCGTCACGAACGTCACACGACTATATATATACACATATGTATAAGTACACTAAATTTAATCTGAATCGGTTTAAGCGTAAATACATAGGTTGTTTGTTACCTCTTCACAGCTAAACAGACAGACAGACACACTTTCGCATTTATAATATTAGTAAAGTATGGATGTTTGCGCTGACGCATCCCACAGCGCTGTCAGTGAACGGTGCCGCCATTATCGTCGCCTGGCCTGTGATTTATTGTGCCTACCTCGTTTATTTTATTTCCCAATTCGTTTGGTTTTATGGCTCGACCTTATTCTAATCTTTTATGAAACAGTTTTCGGAGAACATGCAACATCTATTATGTCTGTTCATAGGAGGGATCGAACAAACGGTTCGAAATCAAAATCTGGCTTACTGCATTAATGTTTAATCTTTGACTTTAAATGTAGTGCTTACTTATGTGAGATATTTGAATTTGTTTTCACTTTGTTTTGTTACAATTACTTAAATTAGGTACTCCTAGCGTTAATAACGATTATGGGACTTAATTCATCTATTGGGAGTGATATTAGTGTCCAACTTTTTATTTTTATTCTATGGCTTGTGTTTATGCACGAATCCGCCAACATCAAGTAAATATTCAACTTTGATCATACTTAAAATTAATTAGCGTCTTTGGGTGTGGTTCTAAGAAAAATAGTTACACTAATACGTGGGATGTTTAGTTACTGTAAATAAGAAATAGTACAGCGTGATTACTTTTCAATATGCATGTTTGTGACCTACTTCAAATATTGGTCTGGTCAACTCATATGACAATTTAAAAAGACAAAAATCAGTTCGGCAACTTGGCATAGAAATGTACGGCTTTGCTATGCTCAGTTCAGCAAGAAATGGCATTGTGTCAACTCTCTGACCCTTGAATAGAAACAACAGTACCTAATTATCTTTGTTCAATTTTGTGTACTTACCTAACTGTCCCATAGATGCTTTGAAACCAGAAATTTCGTCACTAGAGCCTTTTGTATTTACTTAGCGAAAGGCTGCTTTTGAAATTGTTTAGGAGCGTATACTTTTGTGTGTTCTCAACAAATCTAAGGACACATCAGACAATATACCCGTAGGTACGACAAGTGACAAAACATAATTGATCGGCGACAAAGTTAAACCTCGGTACGGCTTCAACAAAAGGTCCAGGTATACAATACCAGAAAATCTGTTATTGTCGTCGTCGGTGCGCTCAGTCAGAGGTGTCAATGTGGTCTGCAATTTTTTTTGTAACTATGTTTGTATTATGTTCTATAGAAAATGACGTTGCTAAGAAATTCGTCCTTTACAACTGCATAGTAATAGAAATATATTGACATATGTTTACTTACCAAACTGAAGCTGCGAGTCCGAAGTAATATAGAAGTAGGAAGACGACAGCGCAGTTTGGATTGGCGAGACCGTCGTGAGCTAGCAGCATGCGAGCTGGAGTTGTGGAGTCTTTGGCGCAGCCGGCAGCCGAACGGCCGGCAGCAGCGCGGACGCCCCACCCGGCGGCAGCGGCGCACCGGCACAGTGCCACCAACACCAGCGCCCGCTCCCCAGCGCTCCCTCGATCCCCACAAGCAAGCTGTGCACCCACGGCCGCTAGCGTACAAGCGAAACTGAGCGCAGCCCACGTCGCAAGCCACACTTCAGCCGCTCGTCTCTCTCCCGATTCCCACAGCACTTCAGCCTCACAAAATTGTGCACATCGGCCCGAACCCCGCACCCACACCCAACTGCTGGGCTTGATGAGCCTCCGGCAGACGCTCCTCCCGCCGGTACTAGCGGGATCTAGTGTGACAGTTCCTACTGGCGCGGTTCTTTCGCCCGGCCCTTCCATACACATATGTTCGTGATTGTTCTCTGCCGGGAAAAGGGAGCAGTCGAGCTCTGCGGGCCATGGAAAACCGAATTTACTCAGTACAGGGTAGCACCTTTCGTACACGCTTTCGCACAGTCCTCTGCAAGGTCCTATGGGAAGTGCAACCTTGTCGGTGCACATAGGAACGTACACAGTACACAGAAACAAGTCCAACTGCGATGAGCAGCCGTATTGCACCAAGGGGCTGAAAGTCTGTAACGTAACATCAGCGTCAGCCTGGAGAGTGTGCCGCGCTAGATTGGGCATTCCCGTTTGGTTGTATCCCAAGTTCTTACACATCGCCACTTTGATAGGTTCACATGTCCGCACGGACGCCTCTGAGACTACACCGGTCGCGAGGGTCACTGTTATTACAACGGCAACAAAGCACTTCATTTTCGTTCGATAATATCCGGCGAATCAGATGATGAGGGATGTCATTGTAGACGAGAATGTTTACGCGCGGGCGCCGATAGCGGGTCGTGGACCGCGAACACGCGTTCGGAGGCGCGACTCGAGACGATGTGAACGTGCGCCTGCGACGAGCCCACGCCGGACGCGGGGGGAGCGCCTACAACAAAAAAAGGTCCGCAGGTATGCCGCAACACTGTGGCTGTGGCCGAGGGAAAGGGAGAGAAATGGCCGAGGAGCGTGCTCGAGAGGGCCACGCTGCGGCCTGCGCGCGACTCCTCGTTAGATGATTGTCCACGGGCCTTGTTATCGCCCGTTATCGTTATCCCGAATTCACGCGCGACGCGGAGTATCAATCTATATCGGTTTATCAAATATCGATTTAAAGATAGCCGCGATAAGGGGCACTATGTTTAGATTTATGGTTATGACTTACTAAGCTTTGCCTACTGTACTGCAAATACATTAGGTAGGTACCCACTTTAAAATGAGTAGGTGTACCTTCCTACTAAAATTTTCATATAGCTGCAAAATATTCAAAATATACTTACTTATAATAGTATTGTGATATATCTTACCTAATTTAATTATATTTCAGTCTTGTATGTGAAGGAACCCCGAAAAGGTATGATACGTTAACTTTTACATTAATGTATGTTTTCCGGTTCTAATAAACATTCTTCATTTTATTTTATGGTTTCGGTCGATACAGTCAAATATCACCAAATAACTTGGAATTTATTGTTTGGTTTTCCTCGCTCATGACGCGAGTTCTTGGGCTCGTTAGTCCATCTTCTTTTATTTAAATCAAACATATTTCTATGTCCAAGGTAGGGCATACACTCTAGTTACAGTGCAATCATCATCATCGATAACTGTAGATTCTAAAGTCATAATGGGGCCCATAAATTATGAAATAAGTACATACTTTACTTCAGGAAACTAGTAAAACATGTTGTCGTACTGTATTTTGACCACGTACGACCAAAATTCAAACTATTTTTGTGCAGAAAAAGAGAGCTATTCGATCTATTCTGCTTCCTTTCTACAAACCGAGCTTCAATAGAGATGTGAAAAAGCATTTGTGCAGTCCGGTGAGGTAAAAAAAGACCTTTTTAATCATTTATTTGCTTTCGTATCAAAATATAAAAGAATCCATTCTTTAGGAAATTTAAACTTAAGTTAAGTATAAATTAATAGAGAACATAATCAACACGAACCATTAACTTATCTTAACTACCCAAACATGTTTGACACTATACACAAATTCTTTGAATCGCTCTCGTGCTGAAACAGTGTGCAGTCCAGATCTCCGGGCCAGTGGTAGCCCATCAGCTTCAGGACGGGCTCGCAGTCATGTTGTACGTGCTGGCAGAACTCTCGACACGGCCCGATGGGTGGTAGACCTTCTACGCACATTGGCAAATAAGCGGTGCACAGGAAAAAGTTCAGCTTAGGGGAACACCGCGATCTCACGAGGGGGTGGATATTCATCATGAAAACGGCTAATCCATACTGCCCTGATTGGTCTTCGTGGCTGGACACCGAAGTGTGGTTGTAACCTATACCTTTGCACTGATCGACTGTGATTTCCTCGCATGACGACTTGGCAGCGGCGGCAACGACGAACAAGCAATATGAAGTTACAATTAAGAATATAATTTCTCTCATTGTGAATACTGATAATACAGAAGATAAGTAGTTTTACTGAAGATGCAAAAATGATACTGGTATAAAACCAGACCTCCCTGAAGAGATCTTTATAAAAGATTTTGTTAAATTGTCACGTTACTCACGTTTTATCACGCAAATAAAGAATGCGCAAGATTGCAAAACAATATATTGTTTGTCAGCATTATAGACTAAACATTTAGCTAGCAGTTAAATTATAATATAAGTTATTATTATAAAAATATTCTTAACACATTCCAATAGAAGCTTACAATTCATAATTTAACTATTAAATATATTGAGTATAATTAATTAGGAGATCATCATAAAGTTCAAGGGCATGAATTTTAGTGTTGGACACATTTCGATGGAAATAATTACTAGCTATTCGACTTTAATATTAAACCTAGTGTAAATGCGAAATATTTACTCATTTGCTTAATGAGGATCCATAACGATTTTAATTGAGAATGCAATTTTTCATTCTTAAAACTAAGGCGCTTTGCAGACGGCGGGGCGGAGCGGGCCGGTCAATTACGCCGCGAACGATAGCATAAAGTGAATCCTATACTACAAACGCACACAGAGGGCAAAAAGACCGCACCGCAGGTGCCCGGCGGGCACTGGCGGCGCGGCATGTCCGCGGCTGCCCGCCGTGGATCATACAAACCAGTTTATATGCAGTAACGCAGACGGCGCGCTTTTTAGTGATGGACTATTCACTAGAACGACCGTCCTGAACTGACTGCCTCTGTCCGTCGTGTGCTTTGTGTACGCGGCGAGGGCAGCCGCAGACATCGACGGGCAGACGCGGTTTTTATTGCTTCGCGGACAAAAAGCCCGCCCCGCCCCGTCGTCTGCAAAGCGCCTAAGGATTCCATAAAATATAGTGGTTAAATTTTTGTTCTATGACAAATATTGACGAAAATATGACCAAATTAATAAGTGAATTTTCGGCTGGCCGCGTGGTGGTTGTGACGTCACAGAGCTCTAGCGCTCGGGCGCGAGCGTGCGTAGAGACGCTACTGACTGAAGTTCGACCTGAGTGAACCACGATCGAGCTCTGTGACGTCACACAACCACAAAACTAATTATAAAATCGCAACGAATGAACCGATTGATATATTATAGATTATACTGTTGATTTTGGTCTGATTGATTTGCCGACCTAGTAATGATCCTCATTAGATAGATTGAGGAGCTCGATGGCGCAGGTGGTTAGCGCGTTAGGCTGATATCGTTGAAGTTAAGCAACTTTCGCAGTGGTCGGTCATTGGATGGATGAGCAAAAGTTTACTATCTCGAGCTCCTCCGTGCTTCGGAAGGCACGTTAAGCCGTTGGTCCCGGCTGCATCTGTTAGTCGTTAGCACCCACCAATCCACATTGGGCCCGCGTGGTGGGTCATAGCCCAATCTCCCTATTCCATCCATAGGGAAGGCCTGTGCCCCAGCAGTGGGGACATTAATAGGCTGATGATGATGATGAGATAGATACCTACTCACCCAAATTGCTTTTCCCTTGTTACCCACAAATCGAGTGGGCCTGATGAAGTCTCACCAATTGTACTGAAAATGTGAGCCCCTAAGTTGACTCCGATACTAACGCGTCTTTTCCGGCTCTCCTACTCTATAGGTGTCGTTCCGAGCTAATGAAAGAGATATTTAGTGCATCCAATTCCTAAGCAAGGCGACCACTCACTTCCTAATAATTTAAGGCCCACAGAAAGAGGTTACAAGGGTGATCATAGACCGTTTGTACGGGAACCGATGTCGCCGATTCGCCCCCAATCCACTTCCAATTGATAATAGCCAATCAAACGACGCGACATCAAACGAGAGCAACGACGCAATCACAACCAAGTTTTGGTCAAGTTATGAGCATATGCTCACACATAAATGGAGCGCGCTTGCCCCGCCCACAAGACCCTTCTAACCACTTTCTGTGTTTTGTGTATAGGCCTATAGCCATCGACTCCTTATTCTCCGAGATAATGGAGTCCATTATAAACTGCCAGCTCCTGCGGTACCTAGAGGACCACAAGCTGATTATTGACCACCAGTACGGTTTCCGTCAGAGTCGCTCGGCTGATGATCTCCTATTTTACTTGACTCATCGTTGGGCAGAGGCAGTCGAGACCAAGGGGGAAGCATTCGCAGTCAGTCTGGATATTGCAAAGCCATCGATCGGGTTTGGCACAAAGCGCTTCTATCGAAGCTTACTTCGTATGGTCTTCCTACAAAACTGAGCAATTGGATCACCAGATTTCTTTCGGATAGGAAGGAGCATCAAGGTCGTAGTCAATGGTGCGTGCTCGGACTCCAAATCCGTGAACGTTGGTGTTCCACAAGTTTGTGCGCTATTGCCTACGCTGTTTCTCCTTCATATCAATGATATGCTTCAAATTGATGGCATTCATTGCTGCAGACTAGACACGGGCATTTTTGGTTGTGAACGCAAACGCATGTATATCCGATTTTAGATTGCAAAATCCGATCAGCTTGACCCTTTGGCTCTGCGTAGGGCCTATGTAGCTATGCTTATGCCTAAGTAACCTCGCTCTGCATTTTCTACCGCATTTATCAAGGGGAGTGTTCTGAGGAACTGTTTGGATTAATTCCAGCTGCTACTTTTTGCCATCTTACAGCGCGACAAGAATTTCATCCCCATCATCTTGATCCGTGGCCATCCACAACCGTGCGATTTGGTCAAAACTTTTTGCCACGTACGACAAAACTGTGGAATAAATTGTCGCCAGTAGTATTTCCGGACCAATACGACCCAAAAACCTCCAAAAAAAGAGTACTCCTTCCTTAAAGGCCGGCATTGCATTTGTAACACATCTGTTGTTGCAGATGTCTATGCACGACGGTAATCACTTACAATCAGGTGAGTCGTCTGCTCGTAATTCTTATATAAAAATTGCTCTTTTCTAAAAATAACTACCATGCGTAGTTTATTTTAAATCACAATATAATTTCAATATGTACGGAAAGAGTATGACCGGCACATTCTTACAATCTTGGATTTTTTGTCAAAATTACGACGCAAACTAAGCAGCGCCAGCTACCGGACGTAAGAACAAACTAGCTTTTTCCAAAGTCAATTTGATGGTACTGAGGCCCAATCGCGAATTTTGACAGCTCCGCAATCGTATCGACATCGTGAAATTTTATATGGAAGAAACTAGTGTTCTTACGGCGGGTAGGTGCTGCAAGTAAGAACATTAAAGAATGAAGCCGCCGACAAAAGCTAGTAAATTTATATTTCTGTAGCTGTCTTTTAAACAATTATAAGGCACATTATTTTTTTCCTTAGATGAAAATAAAAATAGCAAAAAATTTCTTGAAAACAAATGTATTGTACATAATTTACTACACAATCAAGCAGTATTGTATAAATTTTATGAAACATAAATGGTACATATTATGTTATTTATTAGTATAAAATTGGACCAAAATGTAGATAATGTGGTAAAATCGCGCGATCATAGCCTTATCGTTTAATGCTTACCTATAAAAGCAGATTAGGTATATTAATTAAACAAGACAATTTTTGTTGACATTCAAATCTATAATATATATATAAATATATATTGACGGCGAAGTGATTAAAGACAAACTTGAATTTTAACCTAATTTTGTTTCTTCTCCACTCATATAATTATTTACAATCAAAACGGGCCACAACTTATAAACGCTACTCAACTTTAAATCGCGCGACGAGTAAAACTTAAACATACAGGGTAGGTACATTAAGGTAAACATTGTATTTACACTACAAATTGTAGACTGTACGAGGAGATTAATACCCTTAAAATATACGACTAAAATAAACGATAAATACTTTTACAATATAATCTTATATTATACAGTGACGTTACCAATACTAGATGTATTTTGTATGCATTTGTTTATAACAACACGTCTCCGGGGCTTACTCGCTAGCTCGCATAGTCGGTGCCACTTTGGTGTATACAATAAACGCCCTTAATGCATAGCAATAAAGGCTATGTTAGTAGTTAAATAATTGTAACGGCTGTCGTGGCCACGACTGTATTCTATGGAGCGCGTCACACACGTACACCTAATCAAGTCTTGGACATCGTCTTTCCACAGTTCTTAAACTTCACATTTATACATTCCCTATACTTAACGCATTTTATACAATGTTCACATATTCGAACAAGATTTTCTTGATGGGACGCACATCTTTCCTTTAGTGTTTAAATTATTTTACAATATCAAATTGTGATTGCGAATCAAATCGTAATTTATATAAACGTAAGGAATGCTATCAGAGCAACTCTGCGTCACTCGCTACAAATAAATACACAATAGTAATTATTAAATATACTTATAAATCGAACATTCCCGTGTTAATTCATGCACTCGCGTACATATTTGGGCCGCTTGCAGTACTACACGGACGGATCAAACAACTTTTAAGACAATGCTGTTTTTGTTTGACATCAAATGTGTGGAGTGTTTTTGGGATAAGGCAATGTATGCAAATTCAGAAGCTTAGGGCCTGCGCTGCGTTAAGCGGGAGCACGGAGCGGAACGTCCGCTCTGGGTGTTTGTGGATGTGTAACATCTTTCCTCTCAGTTTCGTGAAGTGGGACGGAAGTGTGTAACAGGAAGTTTGGGAAGCGCGCGCTATTTGATTTGATTTTAGAACATAATGTTCAAAGGGCTTATTCCTTTTGTAGTAGATTTTATTTCTTTTTTTGCTAATATAAGGTAAGGTTTCAAATGTTACACAATACACGCGACTAATGCAAGGCTCGCCCTTTTTCATGTTACTTCATAGAGCAACGCTCCGTGACGCGGATCTTTCTTCGCAGCGCTGTTATACGAAACGACATGAAAGTGCACAGGGAGCTGACATCCGCTCCGTGCTCCCGCATAACGCAGCGCAGGCCGTAATAATCGATGCATCCGTGCAGCACAGGGATCTAGTACGAGTGTTGGAATTATTAAAAAACTATAATTGTCACGTTTTATTATATATATTCTTCAAACCAGCACTTCTAGCAGAAACAGCAGTGCTACAATAAAAATGACATGATGAAATTAGTTTGCGAAGACATCAACATGCGTACTAGACTCTTCGTAAGAGGCCTCAATTTAACATATTGGGATAAATGCAACATTCAAACAGCCACATACACAGTTGTATAACAATTGGACATCCTATTGCTTTCAATATTTTTCATCACGAAATTGTTCAATTGTGAATATAATAAGTCTTAGCTGTATTGGAAGGGTTATAAAAATTATATTAGCACAACCATTCGAAACAAACTGAAAGGATAATATAAATTAACTTTCTAAAGAGGAAAACGCGGGTTACTTTTTATGTCTAGTTTGGTGGAAAAGGGGGGGAGAGAGAAAAGCTTTTATTTTAATCGAAAAGGCAATTCCAGAAATTATTACAGGCGATGAACTAACAATATTGTTTATTTATACAATTACAAATGGAGAGTTCAATCAGATTTGGTGACGAAAGTAATATTAATAAAAATAAATAATAATAAGTATAAATAAAACGCTAAAAGATACGTCTCTAGGAATTGTAGGTTACATGTATAAGATTATGACAGAAAACAATAGTGACCAATTTGCCAGCCCAGTGTTGACAAAAGTAACAATAAATATTTTTTATATAAAATAATACTTATACATAATATTAATTAACGTTAAAAACAACGTTGACAGCCTAAGGTACTCCTCTCGGTGTATAAATCACAATATTCTCATAAAAAACTTTTTTTATATTACTTGCATAATAAAATACGTGACACCAGACATTTTGAAAACGCACAAATACTACAATTTAAATGTGCCTTAACATTGTATTGTTTATGCGCTATAAGCTGGCTACAGCTTTTTAATTAATAAAATGCTTTTACATATTTTCACGAATTTTCATATAACTTAGTAACGCATAATAAAGACGATTTGCAATCAATTTCAGTATGCTGAGTTCAAATTATTAATAAAGTCTTTTCATTTAAAAGAGTCTTATTTTCATGTCATATTTTGAGGCATTGTGTGTTATTTTGGCGTGTTTTAAATGTGCTTATATAAAATTGTTTAAATTTTAGTGAGTTAAGTGTCAAATAAGACTCTTGTAACTAAACAGCCTATTTATAGTCGGCCCGTTACTTTTTATTTGCGTATTTAGCCATAAAAGTTACTTTTTCATAAAATTTTGAATTCTATGTCAAACAAGTACAAAAAATCAATTCATGACATTTGACAGTTGTTGACAGTATGTTACACAGATTATATTACATATATATTATTTACAAAAATATAAAATCGCGTAAAGAAACACAGCAGTGATTGTATAGCCTCATAATAAGTCGTTTCAGATAAATATAAACTTTAAATTACCTAATTATTATTTTTTCCAGGCAACATTTAACAAAATAGCGGTACGAGCAGACCGATATAAATTTTACGCATTAATTCATTATTTTACAAAATGATTTTATTTCTAATTTGTGATGTGATGATGATTGTAAGCTTGCATGTCGGTTATTTACATTCCTTTTGTTATTGATGACGAGGTACCGAGTCTTATGGTCTTACTACAAATAAGTTAGACACCGTATGAAACCTTGTTTAGGAAAATTTTGTATGACTATTTTTCTTAAGCTGGTGTTGAACGCATGTCTATGTATCAGAAAAGTCAATTGTATGTAAAATTAAAACGGATTTTGCAATGAGATTTTATTCGGTGTTTTCTTAAACAGAAACTAAAAAAAACTCATGTTATAGAGGCATAAAATATTAGTGTACAATGTTCTACAAATCGTTGGAAGTTGGTATTATTTTTGTTTTAGAGAAATAAATATAGATTCTTATAAATAATGATAATTTAGTTATTTTACTTCATGTTGATAATGATGAAAAAATAAGGAGATTTATGGTTAAATCCAAACCAAACTCTTATTTCATAGTTTGGTTTTTTATTTACTATTAATATTTAACCATAAATCTCCTTATTTTTTCATCATTATCAACATGATAATTATTGGCGCCTTACGAAAGAAATGTTTCACCTATACATAGTAGAAGTATAGTAGAAAGAAGATTTTTTATAGTACGGAATGAATGTCAATGAGAATGTCAACTGATTTTGAACTTAAAACTAGACCCTGAAGGTCTTAAATCGCTTGCAGAAATGTTTATAGTCCGATAAGCTGCGGTGTGTTTATATGAGTTGTAATCATAGTTCCGAACTCATACAGGCTTCCAGGGTTAATCTACTTACATCCAACCCCGTTTTGGTTGTTGAAAACACCAACAATATCAAGGATGACCAAAAAAGTAAAAACATGCAAGGGTACAAACAAATTGAAGCCTACATGGGCATAACTCTCCAAGACCATAAACGAAATTCCAGATTATTGTAAAACGCTTTTACAACTCCGTCAGAATCTTTCTTGAGCATTTATTACGGTTCCTCTTATTCACGGTCGATTATTGCGACTTTTCGAAATGAGGTTTAATATTATTCGCCAATGTCATTCAATTTGGAAATAATAAGACTAATCAATTATATATCAAAATATAGAAGCTAAATCCCCAGAAACGGATTTTGACCGAGTTACAAGAACGTATAGAAATTGTCCAGAGCATCGGTATAGCCCTTTTATAGTTCCGCGAATACGTATCCGACTAGAGAGGCGCGTCGTGTCCCCGCAGCCTCACCTTCAACGAGTGTCTTTCGCGCTGCACATCCGCTAGTTCAGCAACTAGAGCGCGGCAAACGCGATGCAAAACAGCATTTTGCTCCTGCAACGCTTTCACATCCGGTTCCGCCTCGCAAGACGGCTCGCGCGACGGCTTCCTGTACACTTCGAACGCGCCGTGCATCTTCGGCGCGTCCTCGCGATTGTATCCGAACCCGTCGGCTTCGTAATCGCGCGGCGGTTGAGGAGGGGAAGTACGCGGCGGGGGCGGCGGGCCTTTGAGTCGCGTGAGGTCGAGCGAGCTGGAACGGGCGTGGTTTCGTAAAGGACGCGGCGGCGGTGGCGGAGGCGGTTCTTTTTTTGGCGCATATTGTAGGGATTGCGGTCCTTCGTCCGCGTGAGTGGCGGGGACTTCCCGCGCCGGCGGCGGTGGTAGAACACCCGCGCTTTTCACCGGCTTCTTCGGCTGCGGCCGCTGGATAGACTTAATCTCCTGCCCGTTGGGTGGCGGTTCTTGAGAGTTCAACCGCTTCGGACTGGCAGATTCGAACGCGTGCGCGAACTCGTCCCGACGAGGCGATGCACTAGAGCGCACTTCCCCTTCCCCGTGCGAAGGCAACGCGTTCGCGTCCGGCGTCACCCGCAAAGCTACCGGATGGAAAATCTTCGGATCGCGCTCCACCGCCGATTTATGAAAGTCGAAGTTGACCGGCTTCGGCCCGGGACTGGACACGCTCGACGTCGGCGAGTCGACGAATTTCGTCCACTCTTTGTTATTGACTTGGGGCTCGGGCTTCGGCGGCGATAGCGACGGCGGGCGGTCTTCCGGTTTTTTGACAGTTTTGGAGTCAGCTGTTTCGGGTTTGTTCACGAAGCTGAAATCTGCGGAGGAGCCGGAGCTGAACATATCGGCGCCGAGGTCGACCAGGTCGGTGGTGACGGCCTGCTGGGAGAAGCGGGAATCTACCTTGGGAACGAGGCAGGTGGGCAGCGCGTCGGGAACGGGAATGTTGTTCCGCCTCAGCACTATGAGGTGCATCGCTATGCTGAACTCCTCCAATGTCAGCATGCCGTCTTTGGTGATGTCGGACAGTTGCCAAATCTTACGCAAGTCGGGGACCGGCAGTCGCGACTTTTCAAAGAACAACCTGTAAGCAACACAGCGTTTCAATTAATCGTTATTCATAAAAGAAAACTTTTGTTGTTCTTATCATAAAATATAATATCATAAATCTTAATAATAGCGATGTCTAATAAAGAAAGCCAAGATTTTTATACAATTGTGCCATTTTAATAGATTAGTTACAAGTAGTGTGCCCATTTGTGAAAGTATGCTATGTAATGGTGTACCGCTAGGTACACCCCGAAATTTAGTAAAATGCTGCACTGCACAAATCGTATAATCCCATACAAAAATATTACATCATAACTCCTTTTTTATTTATTCTTTGGTGCTACGCCTACTGGTCAAATTCCTACGTACGGACTAAAGATCAATTGTTTTAAACTTTCATGGTAACATGTTTACGGGATTGTTACCATGTACCTTTACGGGATTGTTAATATCGGAAACTCGTTAAAATCAAGGTACAATCCCGTAAATAACATAAATTACTATACAGATCAATTGTTCCGATTTTCATGCTTTTAACATCCAATTTTTTGGCGTACCGCTAGCACTTATATAAGACGTTACAAAAGACTGCAGTAACACTTATATAGGTACGGGCATATTTTTGTTTTTTCAAGAAACGTCATTGCCATCCCCTCGATGTGCGTGATGGTCAACACGCCAGTGATAAGCTCTTTTATCGCAAACTTCTACAGAATCTAGAAACCATTAAAAATCCGAGTGATCGTAACCTTATTTATCGTCCTTTTTTAGGGCAAAAAAGCGTATGGTTCGCCTGATGGTGAGCGGTCGCCATAGCCTATAGACGCTTGCGATACAACGATATTAAATACCCTAGATACACCAACACGGACAAAATCGTGCCCGAAACCAGTTCAAAAGGTATATTGGACGATCTACGGAGCTCCGTAAGATGATCGCGTTGTCAAAAACAATATAGGGCATTATTTAAACATTGAAAGTCACCTTTAATGCATACTGTTTTAAACTTTCATGGTCACAAACATTATAGCTATTAACGGGATTGTTACCATGTACCTTGTTTTTCGTGATCGTGAGGATGGGTTTAAATTGTCAAATGTTTGGAATCCAGTGGTTCGTATGTGTAAAAACCGCAAAAATCAAAAAAGTGTCGTTCCGCGATCTGATACTGTGAGTATTGTGTGTCGGGAACAAGTGCGAGTGAATAGTGAGAATGTGACCAGTGGTAGGGGTATCAAGCGCAGTAAAAGACGACGTCAGAGGGTAGACCGATATGTCGACCAATAACATCTACCCGCAATTACTTCAGTTACTCCGTGATCATGGCGCTTGCAACAGTGCCGAAATATCGGAGACTCATAAAAAACAAGGTAGATGGTAACAATCCCGTTAATAACTATAATTTAATGTATACTGTATAAGCACTTAATTAAAACGCATGCGTCAGAGATATGACAGTTCGAAATGCAAGCTCGTTAAATTTTACAAGTTATTGCTATATGCGGAAAAATATAGACATTATTTCTTTGACTCTACGCGCAATACTCCATGCGCTGTTAGGAATATAGCATGAACAGACAGCGAGGAAAAGAGACGGTTATATAACCGAACATGCATTTGAATGTCACAAATATTTTCTATTAAATTAGTTTATAGTAAGTATTAGAACAAAATTTGCTTCAAATGCGTTAAATTAACAAACATTGATTAAATACCTGTCGAAAAAACAACACTTTACTTTATATTACAAGTATTTTTTTCGCATTATTTCACAGAGCTCTGCGGCATGTTGACTTTTCAACGGTTTGCGCCTATCTGTGAACCAAGAAGTGTTTGAGTGGAGTTCAAGCACTTCTTGATTGGGACACATTTTGAGCGGACGTGGTGTATCTAAGTTATTTAATATCGTTGTTGCGATACCAAAACTATCACTCGCACCGTTCCCTACCCTGACCCAATCCCCCCCCCCCCCCCCGAGGAGCCTTAATCTTTTTGGTATTCAAATTATAGGGTATTCACTATTTAAAATGTTTTCCATACCTAGCTGTCTGCCCGGAGAGTAAGCCTCGTTCAGGTCTTAGCTGCGCGAACTGCGACGCGTAGTGGTGCGCCTGAGCGTCGCTGATGGCCCACACGTCACCGGGGGTTTCAGTGTCACCCTCTTCTTCTGACGAATGTCGGTCTGAGGACTCTTCCTCGGTGCCTGTAAATTATGTTACTTCATAAATTCTATAAACTATAGACCCACTTAACTACGTCTTACACAGTCTGAATCAGAATCTGAATCCATATAATGTAACTTTCGCAGTGGTCGGTCATTGGATGGGTGACCAAAAATCTTCTATTTCGAGTTCCTCCGTGCTTCTGAATGCACGTTAAGCCGTTGGTCCTGCATCTGCAGCCGTTAGCATCCGAAAATCTGCGCTGGGCCCGCGTGGTGGGTCATGGCCCAATCTACCGATTCCATCCATACGGAGGGCCTTTGCCCCAGCAGTGGGGATATTAATAGGCTGATGATGATGATGATTATGTTTAATCTGAATTCTGGTTCTTTGACTCACAGCATTGACTGCGTTCGCAAGACATTTGGATTAAGACTTATAAATTCCGTTTTATCTAAGTTAGTCACTTCCCATACAAGTTGTAATAATTCAATTCGATTCGATTCAATACATTTATTTCAGCCATTTAGCCATATAGCAATAATGAAATTAAAAGTATTATTAAGCAACATCATCAGCCCATTAATGTTCTTAAGGCTGGGGCACAGGCCTTCCCCTATGGATGGAATAGGGAGATTGGACCGATTGCAGATTGGCGGGTACTAACAAATGCAGCAGCAGTTGAGATCAACAGTCACCTATTCTATGACTGGCCATTTCGAAAGTTGCTTAACACAATCACAGACTAAACGAGCTAACTACTCTCGCCATCGAGAATCAGTCAGATTCTTTCAAATTGTTAATCATGATTTCATAATCAGCAAATTGATATAATATGACTTTGATTGGACGATGGATTCCTGAACTGGGATTGTACCACTCCATTTTCTAAGTGCAGAACTAATCCAGATTTTGAAAATGTAGTGCTTGGTGTTTTCACAAAGTTACTAGAATTGCTGATATGACACAGCCCTTGATTGATAGTGGATTCCGTTATTTTTTTATATTAATTTAAGAGGTTTGAAGCATTGTGTTAATATCAATAAAATTATTTATATATAGTGTTACCCAAATTCAGTCTTGGTCTTGTTCCGTCCGACCGTGCAAGACTTGAGCAAGAACAAGACTAATCCGGCAAGACTTTTGCGTCTTGCAGCTAGGACTTAGCGCTATTTCACAAAGTAGTTAGGTATAACAGTTCGGTGTATAGGTACGCTTAGGAATTTTTTGAGACGCAAAAAACTTTATCAAAGAGTATGAAAAACTGGACCTATGCGCATTACGACCAATACCATAATCATACATAGCGAATAAAAAAATATCCATTAAAATCAAACAGAGTGCACGATAGTTTTGTTTTATAAACCATCGGCACTTTGGTAATGCGGGATCAAAGGTTTTGTACTGACTTCTCAAAGAAATTTGCCGCTTTTCGGAAGTTCATGGTGATGATACACGCGCCGGCGGCTTCTATTGAAATCACATACAACAATCATTGCCGCCGCGCCGAAATCACAACATTTGACACTATTTGATTGCCGCCACAGGGCCTAGGTATACTCATGCAAAATTCTAATTTCGTGTCGTGCCGTCCCACTCACGCTAATACTATTTAATATATGAGCGAGCGAGACGGTACGACACGAACTCCGATTTTCGAATTTTAGAGTACAGGTGTTCCAAAGAATAAATAAGTTTCAGAGTGCGTAGAATGGAAACGAATACATTATACTGATCACGCAAGTAGTATTATCTCTTATCTATTAGACAAGTCCGTCCGTCCGTCCGTGGTGCTGTTTCAGCGGCCAAACCGTAAGAGATAGATATAGAGAATGTTTAAGTTAAAAGTTAAGAATAGTCTGATAATACTACAAACCGGATGTGAGTAACGTAGCACTTCCGGTTTTCGAGAAATCACGTGATTTCTATTTCAAACGAAACCACACAAAATCTCCGAAGTTCTCAATTAATTAAATAATTTTTTTTTTTTTGGTGAATATTTGGTTCACTGGTTTGCTAGTGATTAGATAATAGTAAGGATAGGTAGTAGATGCCATAAATAATTTATTCTAGTAAGTATATATTATAATATTGATTATATGGGTTTAAACTAATTACTTAGGTACTATTATTGTACATTTAATGAAAATATTTAGTTTATGTTATTTAAGTTTTTACAAGAAAAAATAGCAAAAAAGTAGTCACATATACAAATAAATTGATAAATATTGTAGCCACTTTTAAATATACTTGAAACATGTAAAAAAATCTACAAAACTAATAAAATAATATAAAAAGCGTACCTACCTACTTATAAAATAAAAATTCTTTAAAATACAGTCCAGTTATTGTAATTAATTTGTTTTTTACATGTTTTAGCACATGTAAGCTTATAAAGCGTAAATGTTTATTAAGAAACAGTTACTCCCATTGAAAATGGCATATGGCTCAGTTGATAACCATGTGGCAGTTGATTTTTCGAATTTCTTATCAAATCTTCAGACATTTATTAATCTGATTGGTCTTTACTTTGGCTATGTTAATTCAAGCTCACAATGTTCCAATTCTAATACGTTTTTCTAAGATCTAAAGTAAACTTTAATAAATAGCAATACTCTAATAGGTAATTGCAAGACTTGCAAGACTCTTGCAGACCAAGACCAAGACCAAGACCAGGTGTATTGGCGCAAGACCAAGACCAAGACTGGCTAAGTCTCGTCTTGTTCTTGCATTTGGGTAACACTATTTATATATGACCTTGACCAAGCAAAAATAAAACTCTAGTTAATACTGTAACGTGTTAAAAACGTTACATGAATCTCCTTCGCTCGAAGAGCGAGATAGAAGATTTTTTTAGGTTGTCTCTCTGGTTGTTTTTATCTCGCGCCCATTTTCCTTAATCTGTGCACTTTTCATTATTATGTTTCTGCCTTTATCAAGCAGTAGGCTGTATGGACGTTGTTCTCTTTGCCTTCCCGGCAAGAGAAAACGAACTTGAGAAAAAACTAATGTCACCACTTCACGACGTAATTTTTAGACCAAAGGATGGTCATTTCGTAATCCAATTTTTTAAATTGATAATCCCTTAGATTATTGATTGTTTTTAATGGTAAGTGTTTTTCCAAATTCGAAAAGTGTTTTAATTCATATATTTCAATGATTTACATGAGGATTGATTTTGTTTACAGATGTAATATTTTACACCGTTTGCGCGGAATGGCGGCGATCACATTCCAAGCTTAATTTGTTTATAAAACGGTAAGAACCTTAGTGTTTCCTTAGTTTCACATTTTTTCCTTTGTTGTGAGCCATGTGCTATCTGAGGAATGTTTATTTTCAGCGAAAAGCGTTTTTTATTTTGATTTTTTCATTCAGATTTCAACATTTCCCATGACGTGGAGGTGAACCCACGTGATGTAACAACACCAGACATATACTTAACTCCAAAGATGCAGCAAAGTCGGTAATGTCCAAATTCATTGTCGTATCCGAACCCTAATATAAGGTAAATTTTCATTTTATTTTTGGTAGAATCATAGTCTTAGTTTCAAAATTTAGCAGTAACCCTTTTGGACCAGTAATTTCGTAGTAAATTTAAATACATTGACAACCCAAAATGAATATGGATTTGCATTAGAGTCCCCTTGCGATTAATAGTCCATTGCTTTCCCGGCTAATAATATGGTACAGTCCAGGCACCCGAATATTCTTTTTTAATTAATTTCGGTGTGTCCATTCCAAAATTTATTATTTTCAACTATTACAATTGTCACCATTTCATTTATTTTTTAATATTACAATAGATAACAGCATTAAGCAAATTAATAAGGTTTAAGAAATGAGAAATTTAAATTATCTAGCATGCCATTATGATAAAATCAAAATAGCAGACTTCTTCAGTGTATTCTTAAATTTATCAGTACAAAGGTATGAATATAAATGTTACTAAAGAGTATATGTTAGATCTCACACAAGCCGCGCATCACTCACGCATACATAAATAGTTGTATCAGCAGTGCTATTCTGTAAAATTTTCACGCGCGGGTCCGATGTGGATCCGCGCGCTGTCGGATCGTCGTGGACGTCGGATCCGTGCGTGAAAATTTTACAGAATAGCAATGCAAACATGAAAAACAATTTTTGTTTTTCAATAATATTGTTTTAACTAAATTATAATCAAAACCAGTTCTCAGCAGTGTGCAGACAATGAGTACTTCTTATAAGACGGTCACATGATTAACCTACAAAAAGATTCTTGTCTGTCTATTATAATTAAACAAGTCATAAAAAAATGTTGATTGGCATGACTGTTGCTCACACTACACACTGCCTCGATCAACTTTAATAAATGCATAATAATAATGAGAATCTTATTATGATTCATAAGGACAGACATTCATCATAATAAAGGTGTAAGCTTATCATGCAGTTTAAATATTAATAAAACAAATAGTAGGTTAGCTAAGAAAATTGTAACTGACTCAACAGAGAATTGACCTTGAAGTTGCAAGTTTTATATAATATACCTATTTAATAGGCAAAATGTATACGATAAATAAATAAATGAGCATTCCATGGGTAAGCCATGCAATGGAGAATGCAAAAGGAAAAAATGATACCTACACTTAAATATACCTAACATCAAAGTGTTAACGAAGTTTTGACTGCGAGAAGTTCATGCCCTATTCGAGATTTCCTCGATTTCGCGATCCCAGCACTTACTTTAAGCGGGCTACTGACATCCCGGCCGCAGGGGCAATCTAATTGTGATGTGATATTTATTCCACCTTTATTTTTTTTAAGGTTTTAAACTAAGCCCTGGTGCCGCGATATGACGAGTGTCGTCATCACATGGTCGAGGGCCACCTGCGTTTTTAAATAATGTCTTGCGAAAAAGCATACTTTGTACTTTCTGTACCATTTTTAAAGATACAAAAAAAAAGTAAAAATACAGTTATTTTTGTAATTTTTTGTAGATTACTTTGGCATTTTTAGAAAAAAAGTCTGTCATCTCCATTGCACCTGGTCCATCGCAGAGTAAAGAGAAATGCAGAAGAGTGCATTATAAATTAGCTTACACATATTGACTTCATAGACAATAGAAAATTTATAACAAGTGATAACTTAAGCTGTCATTGCCTTATAAGTAAACATTATAAGTTCCAATTGTGAAACACTTGTCAAATTTATTATTTAGTTCCAAAGCACAAGCTTTTTATTATTTGTTTGTTGTTAATTTTTATGATTTGTCCAGAGTATATTGATCATCAGTGAATATGTCCCTACTGCTGGGGCACAGGCCTTTCCCATTGATGGAATAGGGAGATCGGGACATGACCCACCAAGCAGACTGAGAGCAGATTGGTGTAGAATGGCTTAATGTGCCTTTCCGAAGCACTCCTGTGTTTCGAGATAGTAAATTTTTGGTCACCCATTAAATGACCAACCACTGCGAAAGTTGCTTAACTTCCATGAATGCAGGTGAACACTGACCACTTGCACTGTCGAGCTCCTCAGAGCTTATTATTATTATTACATTAAGATCTATGATCTTCTATATTTTATCACTTGGTACCATACCCAAAAGCCTAGTGTGTTCTTCTCCAGTGTTTGTAGGCCAGACACCTCGGCCAGTAGAGCTGTGTTCCCAAACAGGATGCACTCTCTCCGCCACACTATTTGTTGGAGTCGGACTCTCACTGGCAGTACTCCATGGTGATCCATTTTTTCCTCTTCTCTGTAATATAAATCATAATAATAAATACAAAATTCTAAAATAAAATATTAAAAATGAAGTTTCGGAAGATGACAATATATTGGGGATATTTCCTATTTATATTGGATATTTTAACCTCACATTGAAATTTTAGAAATATGTTAACATACAGTTATTACAATTACAATTTGGACTAAAACATGTGTTATTTAATTGTCTTGCTGTTTTTTAATTTGCATATATATATTCTCTACTTACCAATATTATAGAAAGTCTGTTAAAAACCCTTTCATTTCAATTTCTCAAATGTAAACATAAACTGAATAATGAACATTAGACAGAAAATAGGGAAATACAGGTGTTAAAAATACTTAATGGAACATTTTAACACTACCCTTGAGTTACTATATTAAGTTTTAATATTAACTCACCCCTCGTGATCCTGATCTTTGTGACATTGTCTCAGACTCCATTTCAGAATCAGTACTCAATGCTTCTGTTGCATCATGTGATAAAGTTTGAGGTACATCACTATCGGACAAATTTGATGAGAGTCGAATTGGTTCATAAGCACCTATTTTACTAGTGAAGGTTCTTTCTTTTGAAATATGTTGCTCCTTTGGTGAATTAGATAGTTGTATTAAGTCAACACTAGCTTCAGAATTTAATGCCCATGTAAACCTGGGCAGAGGAAGATCTAAAGCAGTTGACAGTAATTCTGGCTTTAGAGGCATGTTAGTTTGATGTGCAGCTATTAATTTTAAAGCAGAATAAAATTGTTTCCTATTCATATGGTTCAATGTCGAACAATTATTTGGAGCAACACTTATGTCCATGATCTGTAACAGGTAAATAAGAATGACGATTAAGGCTGAAAAGAATTGGTAATTATAAGTGTATCACACATTAAACTAACCTGTTTAAGAGCATCATTTGAAATGTTAGACGATCTAAATAGTTCAGTTGCTTTTAGAATTGGTATTTTCCCGTTGGATTCCTCATCGCAACATAAAAACAAATCACCGAAATATCTCATTTCGGTTTCTGTCAGGTTCAGATCCTCCATTATAATGTATAACCACAATAAAATAATTTATAACACAGTTCTAATGATACACAGTAAAATAAGCAAAGAAAATATCCATTATCTATTAATGTGCACCATTATTCATCGATAATTTAGACGGATTTGTAACTTGAACATCACAAGATTTACACGAAGCAAACGAAATGTCACTGACAGCTGCTATGAAGGAAGAATCAGCCATTATTTTTTAGTGCTGTATACTTAGTTTATCTACGATAAACACCGGTTTTTTTATGAAATGCTTGTATTTAAAATAAGCACAGCGTGTAAAGGACGAGAGGATGTACTAAAGTAAATCGAAGTTTATATTTGATTGATAGATATGCGTAATTGGGTTTAGTTAAACCGTTGTAAAATAAAAATAAAAAAGCGATAATAGAGTAGGCGACCAGCCTGAATGAGCTTAATATTCTTTGTAATAAAATATTGACGAAAGTAAAAAGAGTTTTTGGCGGGATTTCATCGAGTGCGGTTGGCGTCTTATTTTAATTATTCTTAAATTTGTTCATAGTGGATATTGTGAAATAAAATTGGTGTGATTTTGTGTTACAACCGTCTACGCAACTGAAGAATTAGTTGGAATCTTTAAAATATACGCTATTCCGGTCAAGTGGACTAATGTAAAAAAAAGGAAGATTAATACAAAAATAAGACGATTGCTGCATGGCTTTGCCTTTAACAATAGAGAAGAATAGAACTAAAATTAAAAATAAATAAACTATTAAAATAATGACGTATAAAAACCGCCAAGTGTGAGTCGAATCTTCGTAAGTCATCTGGGAAAGACGAAAAACGTTCAACTTGACGGGCTCTATTTTTTGGCTGGTGTTTAATTTATTATTTATTTACTGCGTGCGTGATCAAAATTGTGAACTGGTATAATAATCATATGTCATTTTGTATATATTTATTAGTTTTTGTACATAAAGAAGATTACAGTCTGTCAACCATGAAAAGAATGTTTGAAGAACTAATGGTTTTGCTAGTACTGGCAACTCTAAATTACTGACAAAAAGTTGTCACGTTAAGGATATTAAGTTTATTGTGATTTTGATTTAAAACTGTTAATTTGAGTTATTTTTTAATTTGACCGTTACGAGATATACAAAAATGCCAGTGTGCTTATGACCACACGACTGAAATGAAACTTCTTTAGCTCCCATGATTTGAAAATCATAAACTTAACCTAAAGATTTGTTAATAGAAAAAAAACAATAATCCGCGCTAGGTCCGTTATCACTTACCAATCCGCTCTGAACCAATTGTCACCCACCAATCCCCACTGGGTCCGTTATCACCCACAACACCGCGCCGGGTCCGTTAATACCCACCAATCCACACTGGGTCCATTGTCACCCACCAATCCGCGCTGGGTCCGTTATCACCCACCAATCCGCACCCCCTTTGTACCCTCGCGGCTCTAGGCACATGCCTAGTTTGCCTTAAGGATAATCCGCCGCTGGACTTGACCCTACTAAAGACGGTATTCCTGCCTTGTTATTTCAAATTGCGCTAAAAGTTTTAACTTTTTAACATTAATTTTCAGCAAATCCCTTTTAAATGGGGTTTTCCCCCAGACATGGAAGAAATCGTTTGTTCCACCACTCTACAAGAGTGGTAACAAATGCTCAGTAAACAGCTCCCGACTAATTTCAATATTGCCCGTGTTCGCAAAGATTCTAGTCTCTCGTTTACCCCGTCATCTCCTGTATTTTTAAACATACTATCACCGATCAGCAGCATGGCTTTGTCGAGCGTAAGACCACCGCTACTAATCTTGTTTCCTTTTTCGAGGACCTTACTGAGTCTCACGATCAAAGCGACTCTATTGACACAATATATACAGACTTCAATAAGGCCTTCGACGGGGTAAATCACGCTGTTCTCATCGCAAAGCTGGAAGCGGCTGGGGTATCGGGAACTCTTCTGGCGTGGTGCAGGTCGTACCTGGAAAACGGTAGATCATCGGTAGCGCTCAACGGATACACATTAGCTTCCTATGGAATATTATCAGGTGTTCCTCAAGGATCGCATTTGGGCCCATTATTCTTTATTATCATTATTAACGACATTCAGTCATGTTTCCGTTTTTCAAAGTGCTATTTATATGCTGACGATCTTAATCTTTACAGACCCGTTAACGTGAGTTCAGATGTTGCTCTGTTGCAGTTCGATATTGAAAGCTTGGTGGCTTGGTCTGATAGGAATGGCATGAGAAGTGTTTTGTAGTCAGATTCACAAGAAAGAAACAAATACTCGACAAATCTTACAGAATTAATGGTAGCGTACTCTCGGAGGTTAGCCAGGTCCGAGACTTGAGTGTTACTTTGAATACTAGCCTCCGCTTTAATATTCACATCGAGAACATTGTAAAGAAAAGTTTTAAGATTCTCGGTTTTGTATTAAGAAAATATTGTAGGCAATTCACGAAACCTAAAACAAAAGTCACCATATATCTAACCGCTACGCCGGGTAATATAATGCAAGTTAATTTTTGCAATGAAATTGTGCATAGCCAAGGGAGGCGCCAAAGAGGAACGAGGGCACTGTAACGCAGTGTTCTGACAATCTACAATTTTTAATTTTGGCGCGAAAGCGCAAGGTAGTTTTCAGGAAGTTACAGGAATAAGTACCGCCCGTTAATTTCATTGGCTGGTTTTTTGTAGTTAGCCGCAACTTCAGTAAAATCCTTTTCGAAATTTTAAAAATTTGAATAGGATTTTAAATTAATAATTGTTGAGAATACAACATTACATTATCAAATTGTAGCCAAATTAATCCACTCACTTGACTTGCCCCTCTTTAGGCCATCGAATGTATATTATATATATGAACTTGCCTTGCTATGAACCCTTGTGCTACTTTAACAGTCGGGACCCACTGTTGAAAAATATTATGTATTCTTGAATATCTAATGGGTCCCGACTGGTAAAGTAGCTTTGCTCCTTATTAACAGAATTATAGACTACTGGACTACTTTTTTTCGTTTCAGTTTTTATTTGAAGTAATACTAAGCAGTCCGGTTTTTTGATTTTTTAAATTTACCTTTTTTATTTCACACTTTTTAGTTAGTATTTTAAGACGGTATATACCGTAGTCTTGTTACTTCAGTAAGGGAATTAATATCGCGGGAATTATTAAGTACCTTGCGTCGGTCTAAAAGATTGATTTATTAAGACATATAAAGACTTTACCAGCGGGGTCAAGGCTACAGATGGGCCTCAATTTTCGCAAAAATGTGTAAAGTTAAATCAAGTCGTTACATAAATATCTCTAGAAATGTAAATTTTATAGTAAACTAGCACATACACAAAAAGTCATCTTTTGTTTATGTTTTTTTTAATAGTTTAGCAGTAAATATAAAATTCATTTACTTTTATTCGTCGACTATTTAAAATTGGCAGTGGCTGCATTGTCATGTCAATGCCGGACGTCTAAGATTGTGATATACACAAATTCAGTGTCAGTCCCTAGTCTCATAATTTGATATACCTACATAATTCACAGAAACCCAATATGTAGATGCCAGAAGTTAACTGCAAATGTTTTGTTCACCCTATATACAATACCAATCAATGACGTTTATGTCGCAGGTTGAAGAAAGCAGTAATCCCCGTCTGTTGTTTTGGACAATGGTGGCAACTGCCTTAGATCACTAAATTAAATAATTATGTAATCACCAAAGCAAAGTTTATAATGAGCGTTTTCCATTTAGAAAAAAAAAGTCGACACTGTGTTGCACTGTGTCGACGATACACAGTATCGTGTTTAATGTGTCGACGATACACAGTGGTGCCGATTCTAGCGTGATTCTCTAAACTTATAACTAAATTTAACATCAGTCTCTCCTTTTCATTCTGTATAGAGAATGACAAAGATGCACTATTGTCAAATTTAAGTTTAGCTTTAGAGAATCATGCCAGAATCGACATCAGTATCGACCCTTTTTTATTGGTAGTGAAAAGCTTGAATGAAGAGTACTCCCAGTAGTGCAATCATGGCAATTATTTTCCAATTTTTTTTTGTTTAAAAAAATAGCGAATAACGTATCATTGTTAAGCACAAATGCTAAGTAACTTTTACAAATATAATCAAATAAACGTATTGCTTACTTTTTTTAAATCCTTTTCATCAATTAAATAGGTACTTATCTTATCCTAACTATCTATACTAATATTATAAAGAGGCAAGATTTGTATGTTTGTAACAAATATACTGTCAAACTACTGAACCGGTTTCAAATATTAATTCAACATAAGGTAGCTACATTATTTATTATAACGTTTTTTTCTTTATTTAAATACATTTTGTCCGAGTGAGATAGGCTATATTTTATCCCGATAAATAAAAATTTCGCCCGTACAATGCCGGGTGGATCACTAGTAAGTATAATATAATATTATGGATGCGAAAGTGAGTTTGTTTGTTGCGCTTCCGTGCCCTAATAGCTAAATCGAATATAATGAATTCCCATATAGAAGTAGATGGAAACTTGGTTCTTAGCTACAACATCGCAATACTTATAGGCGTAGGGTGATGAAAGGGGTGATTTACCTATAAAAATCTACATTATTTACTTTGAATTTTGCAGAATTATTACAAAACCAATATTATCGCGAGCTGATTAATAAATACAGGGATTCCAATAAGTATGTACTCACTAGCAAAAAATGGGTTATTTGTCATTATATTAAGTAAACCTTTTTTGTAACATCGTTAAAAAAAATGAAAAACAGTAAAATTCTGAGTTTTTTATTAAAATTCAATAATCATAAATACCTATTATGATAATATATTTTTCATCATTTAATAAGAAGGAACTGTTAAATAGTACTTCATATCAGATACTGCGAATACCCCATTTTTTTTTCTTTTACATAGTACACCGCGCTATCACTTTGTCATCGTTGTAACTTTTTAAATATTTGTCGAAATGACATAGTGTAAAAAGCAAAGTTTATCGTCTTTAAATATCAAAAGCGATAAAAGTATTTGTTTTGATAAAAAATGATTTGTTATTACACAATGTGCATTTTGGAAATAGATATCAAATAATATTTTAATTTTGATTCACTATTTTAGCGGTAATGACTTACACATTAAAAATAGATATATGGTGTCACGGGCTTTTTTTTAGAACTATTTAAGAGATAATTTTCACTCTTCATTACATTATTATTTTGATGAGAGATTTTTTTCTGTCTTAAGTGACACTTATTGTTATATATTGGCCAATTCACTCAATAAGTACATAAAATATTATATATATGTAACAATATGTAATTATCATTTATGAGCTATATTACTGTTAAGTTTCATTAAAATCCATTCAGTATTTTTTAGGTGAAAGAGTAACAAAGATCCATACAAACATAAGATTGAAATTAAAAGCGTAAGTGGTTATTATACAACTTTAAAGCGTTGTGGATCCTAAATCATATAAAATAAAAATTGGTGTTAGGAACCTAAATATGATTTTTGATTATCTAGACAGTGATACCCCACTCGACATATTTTGTCAACTTATTTTTTTTACTTCGTCACAATATGGCGCCTAATTTTGCCCATATTGAATTTTGATTACTTTCATATCTTTAATAGCACTCCCATGATCGAGACGAATCGATTGATGTATGAATCATCAAAATCGGTCCAGGCATTTGGTCTCTAGTGTGCCACAAAGGATTAAATATATAGACTGTTAAACACAACCCTGTCTGCGCGTCGCGCTTCGCGCTCTTGCATTGCGCAGCCGGGTAAAAATGAGAGTAACGAAATTTATTTGTGTGTAACGTTCCGTTACTCAGTAAAATACATACGGACTGCTACAGCTCTACTTCATTGCCTCCTTAATTGTTGTGATGTGTGTAGGCAAGCAGGGGCAATTTTCTAAATAACACAAGGAATAAAACTAAGGAAACTGGTTTATTGTTATTATTTATTTTGCTGTTACACTTACACATACATAGTTTATTGTTCTTTTTATAACATAGTATTCATTTTTTATCAACAATACACTACTGTCAAAGTAGTTTAAATAATTTAAGTTATTAAAACAGCTAGGTAAAAATAAAACTTAAAAATAAAAGCATCAGTAATCTCGACAATGATTGCATCTAAAACACTACTGATAACATATTTAATCCTTGGATTGGATGAACTTGATGAGATCGATGACTCTGCTGGAGTATCCATATTCATTGTCATACCAGCTGATAAGTTTCACGAAGTTGTCATTGAGAGAGATACCGGCGGCAGCATCGAATATCGAGGAGTGAGTGTCACCAATGAAGTCAGTGGATACTACTTGGTCCTCGGTGTATCCAAGGACGCCCTTCAAAGGACCTTCAGCTGCTTCCTTGACCTTCTGCTTAATTGCATCGTAGGAGGCTGGCTTGCCTAGGCGGACAGTAAGATCGACGACTGACACGTTGGCAACGGGGACACGGAAGGCCATACCGGTAAGTTTACCATTAAGAGCAGGAATTACTTTGCCTACGGCTTTAGCAGCGCCGGTTGAGGCAGGAATGATATTTTGCTGAGCACCACGGCCGTCACGCCACAGTTTACCGGAGGGCCCGTCAACGGTCTTCTGGGTGGCAGTAGTAGCATGAACAGTGGTCATCAGACCCTCAATAATCTCAAAGTTATCATGGATGACCTTGGCAAGGGGAGCAAGGCAGTTGGTAGTGCAGGAAGCATTAGAAATTACCTTGGCAGAGGGGTCATAAGAGTCAAGGTTGACACCAACTACATACATGGGTGCATCAGCACTGGGGGCAGAGATGATAACTTTCTTGGCTCCACCCTCCAAGTGAGCAGAGGCCTTCTCAATAGTAGTAAATACACCAGTAGACTCTACAACATATTCAGCTCCAGCCTTGCCCCAGGGAATAGCTTTTGGGTCCCTCTCTGAGAAGACTGCAATTTTGTTGCCATTGACAACCAGGTTGCCATCTTGAACTTCAACGGTGCCCTTGAAGCGACCGTGTGTGGAATCATATTTGAATAAGTAAACCATATAGTCCAGTCCAATGAAAGGATCGTTGATGGCGACAACTTGAGCGCCCTTGTCGATGGAAGCACGGAGCACCAAGCGGCCAATGCGGCCAAAACCGTTGATACCAATCTTAGACATATCTGTAACAAAACAAACAATTGGGTAAAAACAACAAGTTAAATAAATCAATATGATAGAAGTTATTTAAATTTTATAAAAAATCCATTATATTTTTTGTGGAGTCTATATCTATACTCCACAAAAAAAAATACAGAATAAAATAAATTTGAGTAGTAAAAAACTTTACAACTCATAGTAGATTAAATAAAATTAAAACACTTCTTCAAACTATTGAAATTAGGTCAGTCCTGTTTATTTGTTATCAAAAGATACTTCAACTTATTGTAAAAGCAATTTTGGATAACGGTATTTTTTTTAAAAACAAAGTAAATATATTATTAAAAATAAAACAAACAAAATTAAAGCCCTAGATTGGCGGAATTTTAGTTAAAGGCAACATATTGAGTAATATCTACCTACTTTAATAAGTTATTAAAGGAAAAGGAAGAACTTGTCAAGTCACGTAGCACCACCCTACAAAAACAGTCACAGAAGGAACGTTATTATTGTAATATCGTAATGCTATCGGGATGTTTTAATATCAGATTTTTGTTGTGTTGACCTTGACCTTCAAATCACATTGTCAAATTAAGACTTAAAGGCGTTACAATAATGTAGGTCTATGTTGCCGGCGCGCAGCACAGCGTACCGGCAATTGGAGGTCATGTAGAGGTCACACAAAAAAGTCAATTCTATATTATGGAATCACAAGTTAGAAATTAAATTATCTCCTTTAAGGAAGTGAGGAATTCATTAATAGGGTGGTTTAGATGTGCATATTTGATAATAGCGAGTCGCTTTGAATCGGTGAAACGCGTCAAGAATTCCAATCAGATAGTATCACACCTAATACGTGGTAGGCGATCCTATTTTATTCAATAACCTTAAAACATAGGTTGATCAAAACACTTATTTAACCACTGCCTATCCTAATATGATAATTGACACAGTTATGCAGTAAATATAATTTTATAAATTACTTACCGAAAAGTTATTTCAGTTATTCAAATAGAGCACAGCACGATCGCTCTCCGCAAGATGGAGATCGGAAATGTCACTTTCGTGAAGGACGAAGAGGAGATTGGCCAAAAGACAATCTAGACGACCGATCAATGAATGAAATGGTTCAAAGATTAAAATAGCTACAGAATAATCAATAGCAAAAGATAATGTAAATAGACAAATTATTTATTATTTTTTATATAGTGGTACCGTAAAGCCTTTCAATTCGATTTGTTGAAAACACAATAAAGCCTGAGCCTTATTAGACCACATAAGTTTTTAGCATAGGTACTGGTGTCGATACCGGCATGATTCTCTAAACTTAAAACTAAATTGACCATTAGTCTCTACTTTTTCTGTATAGAGAATGACAAGGATACACTATTGTCAGATTTAGAGAATTATGTCAGAATCGACACCATTATATCAAAATTGAGACTAACCTAAAATCAAACTTGAAAACTTACTATTTAGGCACCAAAGTCTCTTTTACCGATTCCTCCAGGTACCTCCTAGGTGATAAGGAAGAAAACGAAGGAGCTGTACGTAAACAAGCGTGTGCATGCGCACAGCGCACACGAGCAGTCGTGTGGTATGCCCGTTCCTCGAGTTTAGAGTTCCGCAGTCCATTCAAAAAATGCTCGTAAGTGGAGTTCCGTACTAGTGTAACGTGAGTAGCGTTAGCCGCCATGTTTAGCTATAAATCTTGTTCATTTCACTGGAAAGTGCAAGTAAGCAAGATAATAAATATTATTTTATTATTTGTATGGAACCATTTTTGCAAAATACTTAAACTTGGCTTTGGTAGCTTTCCAATTACAGCATTATAGCGTTAAGTATTCCAACTACAGCAACGCTTCGCACAATTGAGCACTCTCAAAAGTAATGCTTTCGTGTGATGCGTGCAATCGTACCAACCCAGTGACAGAAAATTAACAAGTGTTTTTTCTTTAAGTTGGCATTGATCGAAATGTTTTATTTATATGTTATCGTAAGTAATACTATTTGTTGTTGAAAAATTATTAAAGCTTTCGTTTCATTAAATAGTTTTTTTTAAACAATCAAAGTTAATTCAAACTGTTAAAAAAATAAATATAAGTATGGATGTAGGTACAAACATTGACTTTTTTTTCAACACTGAACTTAGCGCACTCTGCTGGTGCATTTGAAAACTAATTCACGTTCCAATTAAGCATCAGCATAATTCGGCATTGTGCGGCACTGAGTCGCATTATGCTCTGTAATTGGAAAGCAACCTTTCTTTGCCCTCTCATAGAAAATACTATTCTACCCTCATGCCTGCTTCCTGCTTTTAAAAACTTTTTTTTGTTCTTTGCCATTAAGTCTATAGTCTATGTGCTGCTCATTTTTTTAATTTATCAGTTAGTTAAGGCAAGAGTTATTTAATCTGTAGTCTTATCTTTTTGATTTATTTTATCCTACCATGAAATCGCCAGTGTAAAAGCAAAATCGCTTATTACGCCATTTTGGTATTGCTTAAAAATTTACATTGAATAAAAACAGATAAAAGTTGAAAAGTATAAGCGATTTTGCTTTTCCAATGTCGAAATGGTTAATATTTTTACTATTTGTAATTTTGACAGCAGTATGCTTTTTCAGGAATGAAAAGACGAGACTGCTGCGTAGCGAGATTCCTCGTTCTGGACTATCAAACGAAACGACTAGGTATGTAAAAATTTAAATGCGATATGGTAGGGCATGATAGTGTTTGTCTATGGCCTTGATTTTGCCACCGTGATTTACATGGCGGGGGATTTAAATTGTCATTGTGATTTTGATACTTGGGATTATAAATTATTCAGTAGGTTTATGTTATTCTTTTTACCGAGAATGATATATCTAGGAATAAATGGCTTCGGGCGTATTGGTCGTGTGATATTAAGAGCCTGTTTACAAAAGCCCGACTTTGAGGTATGTAATTTTATCATCTGCTGACAAAATATGTAAACAAGCGTAATTTTATCTGAGAGGTGATGATTATGAAATAAAAAAAATATTCTTATACGTTTCCAGATAACCGCGATCAACGACCCGGCTATAGATGTCCAGTATATATGCTATTTGATAAAATATGATTCGACACACGGAAAATTTAACGGCAGTGTTTCACACAATAAAGACGAAATTATTGTGAATGGTATAGTTAATACGAATTCGTGTTCCTAAGTTAATAAGAGAATGTCATTTGAATTAAACTTGCTGTAGTCCTATCAGTGCCCCGGCCCACTGCTGTGACAAAAAAGGTTCTTAAAGACAATGCCCATTACTATACTGTGTTGAAGCTTAACCAGTCCCCGTAGCATGAGCACCACAATTTACATTACATGACGTTTTCAGGGTTCCGTACCTCAAAAGGAAAAAACCCTTATAGGATTACTTTGTTGTCCGTCCGTCTGTCTCGTGGAAGTATCAAACTGAAATTCATATCTAATACTCAGGTGTACTGTCCCTTGGAGCTGTGAAAAAAATGGTTGCCTGTAAAGTCGGTTTTACGGGCGAAGATTTTACGTGACGTCTTTTTCTCGGTAGAATATTTATTGATATGAATATAATTAAATTGCACAATAGGAACAAGGAATTGAATGAAAATAAGAATTGCACAAATTTTAACTATAGAAATATATTTTGTTTACTAAAACATTGTACATGTAAACTTAAACTTAACACGAGAGACTCATCGTAACGTTACCGAGCGTTACACTTTTTCATAAGTGACTCCCAGCCGCAACCTAATTTAAGACGTTGTCACGTCAAAAACAAACTTCTGAGCCAAAGCAATCAAAAGATACAGCCGTTTATGCCGCAAATTTTCGAAACTCGCACGGGAATCAAAACCTACAGGGTACTTCCCGTGAACTTAGAATGTTGAAATTTAGTACGAAGTATAATGTCTTATAGTACAGATAAAGGAAAAATTGCGAAAACCGTAAATTTTTAGTTACATGATATAATAAAAAATATTTTTGAAAATTTTAAAGTTACTCCCACTTTTCTCATGAACGCGTAGAGGTATTATTAAAATTAAGTTTGTATGGAACCTTCATTGCGGGAGTCCAACTCGCACTTGGCCGGTTTTTTTATTGCATCTAACTGTCAAACTCCATAGTAATTTGACAATTGACCGTGATAAAAACGAACTATATATCAATCGCGGTGCTCATGTTAGGGGAATAAGGCCGTAGCCAGAGTTGTATATTATAAGATAAAGCAACGGTAATTACAAGTAGAGCATAAGCAGGGCCGTGCCGCACTTAGCAGCCTACCGCTTCGTTTTAAGGCAGGCCAATGGTATTTTAAGGTAGGGCATTGCCCCATAATGCCCCCGTCCCTGGCTACTGAACTTAATGTGCCTTACAAAACACGAAGTCAAGATAAGAATATTTTAGTCACCCTACAATTGCGAAGAGAGCTTTTGCTACCTTATCGTTCCGGCCTAATTGTAACAATTGAAGGTCGTTGGTTTCATTAGGCCTAAACCCCATAGGCGTGTTTTTATCGATCGATAATATCGGATGCTTTATTGATATAGTTCGTGCCAATTCTATTGCGTCGTTATTATCGCAGCAGTGTAACTTCGTAGCCGTAATACATAATGCACCAAAAAAAGGTATAGCAATAATGCATCATATATTATCGACCAAAATAACGCGCTTAAGGGAGGGGAGGGGGGGACCTTAAAATTGTAAAGGCTAATGATGCGGACAGGTAGTCCGACGCTTTAACCCATAGGCACATTGCATCGTATGGTGTTAATTTAGAGGAGCCAGCTCAGATTTGTTTGCTTAAGAAATGTCAAACATAGTACAGGCACCGTCGACTTAGGGCAAGTTTTCCAAATCAACCGGACGTCCTCCTAAACCTACCTCTCTTAACAGCTATCTTTTTCCAGACAAACGGATTAAAATCTTTCACGAAAAGCTTCCTGCGAATATACCATGGCATGCTGCAGGGGTGCATTACGTAGTAGAATCCTCTGGAATGTTTACAACCATGGAGAAAGCATCGGTAAATTGATTTAAAGAGGAAAATTATCACACCTTTTAAGTACATTTTAACCTATTATATACTCACAATCACAAAATGTCCTACCTGGGATAACAAGTAGGCCTTTCCGCTAACTGCTTTTGACAGATGGAAGTGATAATCTCAGAGCTATTTAGTGTTCAAGCCCTTCTAGAATGACCACCGAAACGGGATATGATAAAGTGATATATCGGCATTAACTGTCAGACTACTGCCGACAGTAGTCATGCTAGAGGGGCAGTACTGCTTTATTATAACTCCACTAAGATACTTGTTCTGAAAAGAATCGATGAATATGCAATTTTCTCTTCAGTTACTCATTGTAAATGTCAAAAAAGTTAGCGAATAGGCCGACTGGACCTGTTAACAACTATTTTCTTTCATATTTTAATCCAGTGTCGAGCGCTATTTCGCTAGTATTAGTGTCATAATTAACTTTTAGTATTTTCTTTTTATGTTAAATGCGTGGAAAACAAGCATTTGGCTTACTTGCGGATTATGTCTTACATTTTCAGGGTCATCTGGCTAATGAGAGCGTGAGAAGAGTCATAGTGACCGCACCCAGTGTTGACGTGTTCATGCTAATACTCGGAGTTAATGATGATAAACTACATACTGGTGACTATATTATATCGATGATAAACCTTACCTACGTAAATTACAATATTAAACGAAAACATCTCAGTACATAATGCAGTAAGAAACTACAACTTTGCATTGAAAGAGAATTACCCTCAAAATTAACATAAAATATATACAATAAGTATATCATACATACATCATAACATAACAACTGAGAAAAAAGTGGGCGTACCATGCTTTGTTGATAGCTTGAGACTGATAAGTATACTCACACAAAGATTTGATATCTTACGCGCATTGATTGGTCACTACGCTGTTTAGCACAGGCCCCTAACCCCTAACCTTATGCTAAATAAAGCATATATGACAACAATTCATTATCATATCAGAAAACGTTATTGTCAATATAAGTTTGCCTTAGATATTTAGCCTAGTGACAATTAGTTGAATTATCAATTACACTATGATTTACGGCCCTCCTTATTCAGTAGCGCTGCTATTATACTAAAACAAAAGAATTAAAATTTAAATAAGGCAAAAAATTATTAGGTTAAAATTTATTTATATACTCCCGGACACATCTATTGGCCCACCTAGCATTCCTTTATTATCATTAAAGGCTAGCATTTTAAGTTTTGGCCTTTAAGGTTTCGACTGTCCCTAAAGCCAGATTTACACTGATACAGTAGCTGGCGCCAGTTTTAGGCGCCTAAAAACGGTGCCAATAACTGGACTGGATTGTATCATTTACATTTTTGCCAGCAGTTGCATTTGAGGTGTAGTGGTGACTACACGTCTGGAAAAACATGAACACAGATTTTATTTTCGCTTTCATTTCTTCAATAGTTAACCTTTCCATATTCATTGAAAAGCAAATATTTTGCAAGGCGGTTATTCGCATCTATTTATTTCTATAATTTTGCGAACGAATGTCCCATAAACACTCCTCATTTCTATATAAATTGTAATGTGTTATCATCACCCCACTTTCGAGACATTTTCTTGTCGAAAGTTTCAGCAAATCAATAACACATTGTGACATTAAGCGGCTGGCGTGAACGTGTTTAAAAAGATCCAATGACGCTGGTAAGGGGCGCGGGGGATGCGGGGTGTGGGCACTGGCATGAAAAGTAGGCCTTCGTTCTACTCTATGCCAGAGCTGGCACCAGCGCGGGACTGGCGCCAAAAATGTTTACATGGATCCAGTGCTGGTATACCAGCGGGACTGGCGCCAGCTAATGAATCAATGTAAATCTGGCTTAAGTTTTTACGCAGTTTTGAAGCTGATTTATTAACCATCTTTTATGGTGTTTTTAAAAATATATTATTTATTATTGCTCAACCTAACTGACCTAATAATATTTTTGCTGTAGACCGTTGAAACTTATACCTATAACGCTAAGTGAGCCGAAAGATATGTTCGGAAGTGTATGTAGGTTACATGGAGTGCTCTCATTTTTTGGCCAAGGGCACCCCAGTACCAGCTTCTCCCTCTGGATCGCATCCAGCGTCGAGCGGCTCGAAATGTCGACGACCAGAAACTTTCTGATGCTTGATCGTTTGGCTTCGCATAGAGCCTGTTGGGGACTGTTCAGAAGCATTGTTCGGATTGATCACAGCTGCTGCTCTTCGCTATCGTACATCGCTATTAATTTTTCATTAACACATCTTGATATGATGCGATCTATTTGTTGATATTTTTTACCAAATACAAAAAAACTGGTAAACGTAGTCACCTACAGCATTTCCGGACCAATACGAACAGAAAAGTTAAACGATATAAAATATACCTTCAAAGAAGAGCGTACTCTTTCCTTTAAGGCATAAACTTCTCATTCACTTAGCTCACTTCTCGCTTACTTAGTTTACGCATCGGCATCGCATTTGTGACACTCCTGGTGTTGCAGGTATTTATGGGCGACGGTGATCACTTGCTATAGGTGAGCCATCGGCTCGTATGCACCATATAATGATAATAAATAAGGTACATTATTATACATACATACAGAAACATAGTTACCATAGTAGAAAAAACCTATTATTTTAACAATAAATCTATTTAACATATTGTATGACTTTTGTTTCTAACACGTACACATGATCTTACATTGTTCGCCTTTACTTTTATAACATGTAAATATAACGCATCTCTCCTAATCAGTGATATAACATTTAGTTTCATAATCGGGACGCACCGTAAGACTAAAGATGTAAAAATGTGAATAAAAGGGAACCCGTTGGGCTAACTTGTATGTAGGTCATTAAGTAACGCCTAAGCAGTCCTTCCGCAGCGGATTTGAGCGGTACGGTAGGCCGCGTACTTAGTTCCCAGCGCGAACCATCCTGCGCCATCTGCTGGATCACTCGAGATATCCAGGGTTATTTACTCGGTGTGAACTCCCTCCCATGTTCCGCACTTAAATGCAGAAGAAGGATGACAATATATTGTTTTAAACTTTCATGGTCACTAACATTATAGTTATTAACGGGATTGTTACCAGTTACTCCGTGATCATGGCGCTTGCAACAGTGCCGAAATATCGGAGACTCATGAAAAACAAGGTACATGGTAACAACCCCGTTAATAGCTATAAGGATGACAATGTCTTAAATGAGAATAGAGAGGTCGTTATAATAATCAGCCTAATGATGTCCCCAGTCACACAGGCCCAGTGCGGATTGGTGGTTGCAGCCGGGACAAACGGTTTAACGTGCATTTAAAGCAAAGAGCACGGAGAAACTCGAAATAATAAATTTTTGGCCACCCATCCTATGGTCGGCCATTGCAAAAGCTGCTTAATTTCCACGATCGCAGACTGAACGCGTCAACCAATTGCGCCATCGAGCTCCTCAGTATCTAGTAAATAATCTTGAATTTATGAAACAGGTCAAAAAGTGATATCTTGTGCATCGAGTACTATGTATTGCCTGGCGCCAATAGTGAAGGTACTCGAAGATTCCTTCGGTGTAGCAGACGGTTTCGTTACTAGCATCCACGCGATGACGCCATCACTGAAACCGCTCGACGGACTCTGCTTAAGAGGAAAGGTAAAGGTAAAGGAAGAACTCTTTCATCGCATGCCATGCAGATGCATAGAACTTTAAGACCGGGTTGGCGTATTCAAAGTCAGAATTATGAACGCTTGTTTGGAGCATCGAAAGAATTCGTTCTGGTTATAAAACAGCTTTAGCTCATGATTGATTCTGTTCTGAATGAATAACCGCTGCATTCATTATTACACAATACTTAATTCAAATGACCGTAGTTATTGATAATGCAACATTTAAACAGCAACTTCTGCTTATGGTTGAACTCTAACGACAAGGCTCTTCTGTTATTCGTTCCATACCTATCTGTCTCACCTCATGTATTAATATTTGTCCTTATAATTTGGATAATAGCTTCACTAATTGTAAGTAATCTTTTTATTTAAAGAGAAACGTCTATTGAAAATAGCATAGAATTTTGAGATAGGTGACTCAACCCCTAAGAAATAGCTAAGTAGTTGCCGTGCAGGTGCTGTATTTTAATTATATCTTCGATAGCATTGGCGAGATCATAGGAGCATTCATCAGAATATAATACCGGCTATGACGGGAGCATGCAAGGCTCTTGGTAAGATCATACCGAAGGCAAAAGACAAACTGTGCGGGCTAGCATTTAGAGTGCCCATAGTAAACGTCTCTGTGTTGGACATTACTATACGGTATAGGAATCTTATTTAAAAATATAATTTATTTAATATATAGTTAGTTAGATATTGACTCCCAATAAATTTGTATACCACGCAGATTAAACTCAAACACAACATTACAACAAATAATTCAGAAAGTGGATAAGGCGAGTAACACAGAATTGAAAGGCATAATCCGAATATCCGCAGATAACGCTGTATCATCAGACTTTATTGGAGAAACACATTCCTGTATATTAGACGCGAATTCTAGCTTACAGTTGAAGGCAAATTTTTTTAAGCTTGTGTGTTGGTACGAGAATGAATATTCCTATGCATGTCGAGTTATTGATACGATTATTTTTGCTGATAATAAATTTAGTTATGCAAATACTATATCAAACATATCGAATACAGAAGACAATGCACAACAAACTGTATTTTGTCATGATGAAAGCTGTTTGAAACGTAAAGATCGACAATTCGTTTTAAAGAAGCCAATATCATCACAACTCTGTAGTAACACGCAACCTTTAGTTAACAAGGATGCTAAGAATGAAAATGAATTGTATAAAATATGGAAAGACGAAAAATCGACGTCAAAACCAGGCTTACGACAAAATGAAAACTGCTTTTTTCACAGTTGTATTGCAATAACACCACGCAATATAGAACAAATGGATTCAATGAAAGCTCAGGATAGATTAGAATTGCTTAAAAAAGAATTCTCGAAAATGGTTAATGTTACAGAAAGTCTTCTCAAAAAGTCCTATGTAGGTAGTGTCCATTCAAAATCAGATGATAAAGCAATAAAACATGACTATGAAAATAACATTGAATTAGGAAAAAGTTGCGACGTATTATCAGATAAAAATAAAATAATTGAAAAAAATAAAATGTATGGGGATTATAAATTTTGCATCAGTGCCTTGAAAGAGAGAATTTCAAGCAAGGAGGAGGATTGTATAAAATGTCATGAAGTTAGCAATACAAATGTTCAGAGTGACCCAAATACTGTAGAAGATCTGAATCCTAAAAATGTTCTACTTGAGAATTATTTAAGGAGTAATGAGAAAAAGGATACAACAAAAGCTCAAACGATCGATCCAATCGATTCGGCGAAAGGAAGTAATTTGGAAACAACTGAAGTGCATACAGTTCAAGTTCAAACATCGACAGTAAATAAAATTGAAGGAGAATTAAGTAAGGCTAAATGTGATAATAAAAACACAAAATCAAAAATTACAGATAAAGAAGTTAGATCATTTGTTAAAACTAATAGTTCTGTTCAAATTTCAAAGAAACTAATAAGTGAAATGAATAACACTTGTAAACTTTATAAAAATGTAAAAAATTCTGAAAGTAAATTACGTTTGACTATCAAGAGAGATATTAATGAACTGAAATACACTGATAAAAGAGTAGCAGACAGAAGTTTTAATACCACTGTTAATATTAATATGCATGATTCACAGTCGCTAGCTCATAACGAAGAATATTTGAATAAACCATTGCCAAAAACTAACGGGATTTCTCCTGAGCGTTATTCCATAATATCTGATCGGACATCAAAATGTGGCAGCCCCGGTAATGCAAGTTTAACAGTTAGCAATGTTGATACGTATAGTCGAAAGGAAGATATTTATGATAAACTAGATAGCATTAGTGGAACAGACTCTAACAATTCTTTTCAGATTCACGAAAGAAGATCACAAGTAATCAATCTCAGTGATTTAACTAATTCTTTGGAAAATATCGGACGGTTAGATAAAATATGCAAAATAATTGAAATATCTGATGAGTTATCCGATAAATTGTTTTCCGCATTGGACAACGACGGTATTGAGATAAGAAGGAAAAAGTGGTCATTTAAGGATTTATGTGAAAAGATTAAATTAGACGATTTTTGTGATAACGTATTCGGTAAATCTTCTGTATGAATGATAAACTTATGTGGGTGGTATATTGTTTTGTAAGTATTGAAATCCAAATTACCATAACTTAACTTTTATTAAAGTGTCCCAATTTTGATTTGCATCTTTTTCTCTTTTTTATAAAACAAAATGTAGCAAAATATTTAAATAATCTCATACTAAGGCACTTTTAAGTAGGTAACTATTGCACTTAAAGTAAAAATTAAATTGTATCACAGATGAAACGGAAACATAAAATCTGTTAAAAAATAAAGAGTCCAGGTACATGCACGTCGATTCTTATAATTATGTCATATCATTATTTTAAAACTTTGTACTACGTATAATGTGGCCGGTTAACATTATTCAAAACTTTCAGAAAGGGGTTTAGTGTTTATTTTATACAAAAACTGACTAGGCATTACGGCAACACCCTTGTTAAAGAAAGGAAATGGACAGGTACGCCGAATTTTGGTTATTTTAAATTTGTCTTGTCAATTTTGTATGTGTGCATTGTAACGTCGTATTTACGCCGTCACATACATAGATAAATAATATATGGTTTGACATCCGTCACTTAAGGATTTTCCCTATTTTTTTTTTAATAATAAACGAAGCACACCTTTAAAAATTGTCTTAATTTCATAAAACATTAAAATAAATACGTAATAATTGTTATTCTAAATTTAAGAAAACTTTTGTAATTTATGGTTAGTCCATGCCCAAATTTAAATTTTAATGCGCCAACACTGAGACTCGCGGCGTTTTTGGAAGTGCGACCTGGCAACATTACTTTTCGGTTCTTTGCAGACACGAACAGTCACTTTTAAAAATGTGAAATATAATAATAATTTATAGTTCGGTTTCTTTTTCCAAAAATGCGCTCATCGCATTTTTGCAAACTAATATTGGTGCCAATGGCCCATTAGTAAAACTTTAAAAGAGCTGCGATTGCAGCTCTTTAAGTGATCTTTATACTCTTTAAGTGATCTTTATACTCTTTATAATCCTTAATTTTAATGATATCTTTATAAATATCATTTTGATATCCTTGACCATGGACCAGCCATAATAGTCTAAGTAAATCTGATACTTAATGTACTTTGACGCCTGGAATCCTATCTGGTATGTACACTTTCACAATAAATAATTGAAGAGGAAAACACCTTTATCATTCAACCCTAGTCAAAACTGGACTTGAGATTAAAGGCCGATGTTCCCGTAAGTTATTCCGGACACCTGGAGATATCACCAGCTTCCCGGCGCCCGTTACAACTCTCACTTTAAATGGAAGCTGAGAAGCTAAAATCGGCTACCATCAACCGGCCTTCTCCAGCCTTTTTCGTTCTTTTTTTGAAATAACTAACTATATAAATAATTTACACAGTTTTTTAATTTTTTTACCTTACAATGTCGCCTCTCACATAGGGACAGGATTTTGACTAGGATATTTTGTAACTTTGTAAGTGAAATATAGTTATTTTGCTATATCCATCATAACTTTCACATTTTGCTTAACATAAATTTATTAATTTTTCACTTTTGAACTGAATGTTATTATCACATAACATTCATCGAGTAACTTTTTCCATTTTTGCTTTAAAGCTTTGTTTTGGCAAGCTTATAGCCATATTTTACTTTCATTATAAACTAATTTGCTATTATGTAATTAGTACATAATATATTTTAGAATAAATAGATTCTGAGAAGAAAATGTGATGCTAATAACCATTCACACAACTTTCTTTGACCATATTTTGAGATTTGACAAATTATTTGCAAATAGTCATTGCATAATATTGTTGTTTTGTTATTTAATGTGCATTTCAGCTTTCAGCAAGAAATAAATATTGTTTCATGCATAATTTACTTGTGTTAACCTATCATTTACAGAATTGTGTAAACTTAATATAAGTTCAAGTAAGTACATGTGTTTATTACTAAGTGTTTACTGAAAATAGTTTAATTGTTTAATCCTGTTGTTAATCACTTATGCACAGTGTCTATTGATCAGTTTTCTATGCAATTGATAATGCAAAATTAACTTTTTTTTACAACAACAATACATAACAAGTTTTATTACATGTCAAACTTAAGTTTTGTACATTGAAGTTCAAATGTTTTGATATAGTATCAGGTTAATTCTGATATTATACTGGTTAATTCATATTCCTGAGTAACTGTTATTGTTTAATTTAACTGTAGGTTTCCATAAACATTGCATTTAACATTTCAATTTGTCAATAAATTTCCACTTAAACTTTCATTGCAAATCTTAGTATACAATGATATGAGATAACTTTTATTGCATAAAGTGTTTGTTTACAAGAATTAGTTCTTGGTAATTCTTATTTTTATTGAATAATTGATAAAATTATTGGAATTTAACCTTAAATTAATGTTAGTTTTATAAAAACAACTTAAATTTATTGGAAAACATTACAACTTGGTAGTTTTTGTTAAACTTACAATATAGTTTAATATTTTTCTGTGAAATAGAGAAAATAACTTAAGTCTTATAAGAATCTTACACTATGACGGATAAGGAGTGTCAAACTGATAAAATCATGGCAGGAACTTCAGAAAATAAGTCAAGAAGGGTTTCTGTGGGTTCAAAACAGGTAAGAATTAAGATTAAAATTGTCATACTGTGCCTGATGCTTTGTCTAGAGTTGAAATTGCTGCTATTACTCAAGTACCGGATGAAATTCATGATCCATGGTATAGGAAAATGTTTCAGAATTGTCAAAAATATCCTTCGAAATTTAAAACTTTTAAAGTAGATGAAAATAATGTTCTTTATAAATTTGTTAAACCTAAACATAATTTATCTCAAAATTTAGCTTGGAAAATTGTTATACCTCGTGAAGAAGTATTGAATACTATTCGTGATAATCACGATAATATAAACTCAGGTCATTTCGGAATTCACAAAACTATTGAGAAACTTAAAATTCATTACTTTTGGCCTAAAATGTTTAAAGATGTTAGAGATTATATTAGTAAATGTGAAACTTGTAAAGCTTATAAGCATTCAAACTCACCTCCTTTAGGAATAATGAGTAATCCTAAATTAGTAGATCGTCCTATGACAATGCTGTCAATGGATTTAATTGGTCCATTGCCGCGGTCTTATTCTGGACATAATTTCATTTTGTCAGTAGTAGATGTTTTCACAAAATTTTGTTGGATTTTTCCTTTAAGAAATGCTACTTCCCAAGTTATAGTTAAAAATTTAGAACATGAAATATTCTTAAAATTTGGTTGTCCAAAAATTATTATATGCGATAACGGTACACAATTCACTTCAAATATATTTGTAGATTTTATAAAAGGTTATAATATTCCAAAAATATTTTATAATACCCTTTACACTCCTCAGAATAATCCTGTAGAGAGATTCAATAAGACAATAGAAACCTGTATTTCATGTTATGTTGCAAATGATCATAGAACATGGTCTAAGTTCATTCCCCATGTTCAAAGTGCTATTAATAGTACTGTTAATTTAGTTACTGGTTTTACTCCAAATTTTCTTATGTTCGGTCGTGAAGTCGTGTTGAATGGGTCCTTGCATAGATATTCTTCTATAGATGACTTGTTTGATATTAATATTGAGAAACCTGACGGTTATAGTAATTTGTTAGATTCACTTAAAGATATTTTTATTAAAGTTGTTGATAATTTAGCAAAATCTTATAAAAAGAATGCTAAATTTTATAATTCGAATCGAAAAGTCATTTCCTATGACGTTGGAGATATTGTATGGAGGAGAAACTTTGTACAATCCAACGCAATTCATTTCTTTTCTTCAAAGTTAGCACCTAAATTTGTTAAATGCAAAATAATTGACAAAATTTCAAATAATGTTTATTTATTAAAAGATTTTGATAAAAATAGTACTGGTAGATACCACATTAAAGATATTTTGAAAATATAACTTAGATAATTAGACATTTTGTTCATTTTGATAGTTGACGTTTGCGGTTTTAACTTTCTAAATTTCGCTTTGGTTCTTTTCACTTGCGTTTTAGAAATGGTCGACTTGTGAGATGATGAATGAGAGAAGTATAAAAGGTTGTCGACATATTGAATGGTGATGTATGAGGATTCCTAAAGCGAAGAAATAGAATCTCAGTTTTAAAATTGAATTGGTATCATTTTATTAGGCATGTTTTTGGAAATTAAATTAATTTAATAATATTCTATCTGGCAATTAGATGTTTTAACTCTTTTTGAAGAATTTGATTTTGCTTCTAGCATCATAGGATCTTATCTTAGTTTGTTTTGGATCTTCTTATTTTTATAAGATCTCATATTTTTGAGGATTTTATATAGATAACCTTTTGTTTTAAATTTCCAAGTCTTATATTATAATATTTATTATTAAAGACTTATAAACTTTTGGAGATCCTTAATACTTTATTTCTGGTCTTTATTCATTAACTAGATTAATGGATTAGAGTTCCTTGTTTCCACGTTTATTCCTTATTAGTTTCTGTTGTTCTTCCACAATAGTCTACTAATAACGTAATAATGTTTATTTCGTTTGTATAAATAGTTAAAATTTAGGAATTACTATTTAATTTACTATTTTGTAAAGTTTGTTTAGGTGTTTGTGTTTAGTCTGTAGTCTTAAGAACTATTACACGGACGCGACTTTTAGACGGACTTTCCCGTTTTACTTTTTCCCAGTCGACTTTCCTCGATCTGTAGGTACTTTTACACCTTTAGGTGTCCCCTTTTCCCCTTTTCCATCAAGTTCATACTTGATTTGGTACAATTTATTTTATAGGTTTGCTAGACATCATTAGAATGTTCTGTGTTTTTCCTACAGCTTTGCTGGAAAAATTTCGTAGTGTTAGACTTATGACTGACATACTATTTTCCCAGACGATGTTTCATTAATAACTCGTTCTGTTTTTTTTTTTCCATTTTCCCAGACGGTGTTTCATTAATGACTCGTTCTGTTTTTTTTTTTTCCATTTTCCCAGACGGTGTTTTATAGATAACTCGTTCTGTTTTCTTTATGCAGCTATGCGATTATTCTATGTAGGGCGAAGGAGCCGACTACATTGAATCAGTGGTATTCGATAGTGCATTAATTTTGTGATGCATTCATTCTTTTGTAGTGCATTCCTTTTGTATTTTGAAATGCATTCATTTTGTATTAGATTGCATTTAATTTTGTAGTTACTTGATCATTCTATGTAGGGCGAAGGTGCCGACTGCATTGAATCAGTAGTATTCGGTAACACAATACTTATTTTTCCAACTCGATTATTATTGTGTTTGGTAATTTTTGTTTCTGCTCGATAATTTAGTGTAAGGCGAGGGTGCCGACTACTCTAAATCGGTTGAATCGGTAGAACGTTTTTTTTTTTCTCTTTCCTATTCCACACATTTATGTGTTAAGAATTTGAAACTTTCATAAAGTTTATTTTATTAGGAATATTGTTTGTATTCGAATGTTTAGTGTAAGGCGATGGTGCTGACTACTCTAAACCAGAAGCGTTTCAATGCATAACAAGAAATCCGTATATTGGAATATTTTCTGCAATAAATTAATTTTAATATAACTTTTGTTTTCATATTTAAATTGACTTGCTGTTTTATATGGGGCGAGTGTGCCGACCATATTTAACCAGTTGCATGCCAGTCAATGGAAATTTTATTAGATTATTATAAAGTAATCATTTTTTTTTCTTTTCTCTTTCTTTACTGTTAGGTGTAGTTGGATGTTATAAAAATAACATTCGTTATTTTTATAAAATCTAGTGGGGGGGAATTGTAACGTCGTATTTACGCCGTCACATACATAGATAAATAATATATGGTTTGACATCCGTCACTTAAGGATTTTCCCTATTTTTTTTTTAATAATAAACGAAGCACACCTTTAAAAATTGTCTTAATTTCATAAAACATTAAAATAAATACGTAATAATTGTTATTCTAAATTTAAGAAAACTTTTGTAATTTATGGTTAGTCCATGCCCAAATTTAAATTTTAATGCGCCAACACTGAGACTCGCGGCGTTTTTGGAAGTGCGACCTGGCAACATTACTTTTCGGTTCTTTGCAGACACGAACAGTCACTTTTAAAAATGTGAAATATAATAATAATTTATAGTTCGGTTTCTTTTTCCAAAAATGCGCTCATCGCATTTTTGCAAACTAATATTGGTGCCAATGGCCCATTAGTAAACTTTAAAAGAGCTGCGATTGCAGCTCTTTAAGTGATCTTTATACTCTTTAAGTGATCTTTATACTCTTTATAATCCTTAATTTTAATGATATCTTTATAAATATCATTTTGATATCCTTGACCATGGACCAGCCATAATAGTCTAAGTAAATCTGATACTTAATGTACTTTGACGCCTGGAATCCTATCTGGTATGTACACTTTCACAATAAATAATTGAAGAGGAAAACACCTTTATCATTCAACCCTAGTCAAAACTGGACTTGAGATTAAAGGCCGATGTTCCCGTAAGTTATTCCGGACACCTGGAGATATCACCAGCTTCCCGGCGCCCGTTACAACTCTCACTTTAAATGGAAGCTGAGAAGCTAAAATCGGCTACCATCAACCGGCCTTCTCCAGCCTTTTTCGTTCTTTTTTTGAAATAACTAACTATATAAATAATTTACACAGTTTTTTAATTTTTTTACCTTACAGCATGTTGGTGTGAATAAAGTCTTATCTATCTATTTCGTGAAGTTAATTGCTCATCTTGGCGACAAACGACACTACTGGAAGAAATGTTAAAAAAATTTCGGTCGTTGACTTGCCTCTTGGTTGAACTACTTTCCTAAGGAATTGATTAATGTTAGCCGGCATTTAAACTTTCAGCCATTGTTATGGTATACAACGTCAGTGTTACGTAGTAGTTTAGTGTTCAGTTCTATTATTGTTTTGGGGAATATGGCGTCGTCCATTTCGACGAAGTCTGCTATGACCACGTTGACGGGCGTCCGAGGAGAGGCCTGCGCTAGCGGCGGGCCCGGAGTGAATTCCCTTAATTTTGGAAGAACTTCGTCTTGCACTGGTACTGCGCATTTTTCACGCAGGTTCGATCTCCACCTGGTTTATGTATAATTAAGTTTAACAAAAGGAGTTTCAAGAGTAGGTATAAGTAACGGCAAACGTCTTGAGAAAAACACAGACAAATAAACTTGCGAATCAGACATTTTTGTAAGTGAAATTGCTACTGCGCAGGTTCCTTGCCTATGGTCGTTGCTCAAGAAGTTTCTCGTGGTGTTTAGTTCCGTTATAAAAATTATAAACGAAGGTCTAAACTACATCGCCACTGACATAATTGAATGACAAACGTTACTTAATAACATTTGTAACTGCAGTTTGACAGCACCATTCATTGTTATTAGCAATTAACAAACCATTATCAAATTCGGATAGTTGAATTCGATGCGTGAAATGTCAAGAAGTTCTTGCTACTGATTTTTAATTCTCATTACATCCATTGTGTGGCGCTGTTCAAGTTTCCATAAAAAATTCTCGATGCCGATTCGCACTCGCAAACGTACCTAACGAATTCGATATTAGTTCGTGCTAAGGGTACCTGGGGACAGGAGTGAGCACCTGGTGAAGCCCATGCCCGGGGCTTCAGGCTACAGGCGGATGATGGTCACAGACATGAAGACCATGAACGAGGGCGTGGGAGTGAGCACCTGGTGAAGCCATGCCCGGGGCTTCAGGCTAAAGGTGGATGATGGTCACTGATTTGAAGGCGACGAACGAGGGCGTGGGAGTGACCAACTGGTGCAGCCATGCCCGGGGCTTCAGGCTGCAGGTGGATGATGGTCACTGACCTGAAGACCATGAATGAGGGTGTGGGAGTGACCACCTGGTGAAGTCATGCCCGGGGCTTCAGGCTGCAGGTGGATGATGGTCACTGACCTGAAGACCATGAATGAGGGTGTGGGAGTGACCACCTGGTGAAGCTATGCCCGGGGCTTCAGGCCGCAGGTGGATGATGGTCACTGATTTGAAGACGATGAATAAGGGCATGGAAGTGAGCAAGTGGTGGAGATAATGCGCGGAGCTTCAGGCTGCAGGTGGATGTTGATGTGGCGTAGGAGTGACCACGGTTCGGTGTAGTCATGCTTGGGGCTTCAGGCTACAGGTGGATGATGGTCACTGACCTGAAGACCATGAACGAGGGTGTGGGAGTGAGCGTAGTCTGATGAAACCATGCCTGGGGCTTCAGGCTGCAAGTGGATGGTGGTCACAGACCTGAAGACCATGAACGAGGGCGTGGGAGTGACCACGGCCTGGTGAAGCCATGCTCGGGGCTTTAGGCTGCAGGTAGTTTTTTTTATAGCTAGGTAGGCAAATGACTCTACCCCACCTGATGTTAAGTGGTCTGCAGTTAAAAACTGCAACACCAACCATCCTCACCTTGCCGGCCTGCAGAAATGCTTCTTCACGTCTCTCTTAAAGGAACCCAGATTGTAGGAAGAGTGTATCACTGTCGCGGACTTATTTATAGAACTGTTAAAGGAGAACAATTCCATCATACATGTTTTTTGTGTAACTTTTACCGTTTAGGCAGCGCACGCAACGGAAGCTTTTTAAATAAATATTTTAAATAAATAAAACTAAATCCACACGCATTCCGTGTCTGTTGCAAGGTGGGGACGAGGACCATACCAAATCCCGCATGGTTTTTCCTTTGTTCATGTAGGAATAGTGGCCACGGTAAGTCGTCGAAAACTTAGGCTAGCGCGCGAGGTCCTCAGAAGAAAATGGGATAAGAGAGAAAAAAATGAGCAAGCCTTACAGTAGTCGCGTATGATGTGTAACATTTGAAACCTCACCTTATATTAGTAAATAAAGAAATAAAACCTACCACAAAAGGAATAAGCCATTTGAACATTATGTTCTAAAATTAAATCAAATAGCGAGCGCTTTCGCGACTTCCTGTTACACACTTCCGTTCTATTTCACGAAATCACTCCCACAAATTGCAGCAAAGCGAGAGGAAAGATGTTACACATCAATAACTCCTCAGAACACTCGCCGTGGTATAGTCGGTAGAATGCGCTTAATGATGCCATATCGCCTATGGCCGCTGACTGACCTGAAGACGATGAACGAGGGCGTGGGAGTGAGCACTGCCTGGTGAACGAAACCCATGCCCGGATGTCGTTTCAGGTGCTCCAAGTATGATATTAAGGTGGTTGTTTTAGCCGTTTGAGGCCAGGGTGACGGCAACATCTGTGGCTGCCAAAACTCGCCCGTCGCGTACACCGCTTGATTACGGTACACCACCACGATCTGCAGACATTGAGGGAAGGAAAGAAGTGAAAATAGTGAACGATATAAGTACAACAAAACATTCTGACTAAAGGCAGAAACGGGCTTTTGAAACGCGACGTGGCTCGACGCTACGCAACGCGTGTTTTTCTATGATCAGTGTGTGCACGCGTCGCGTCAGATGTTCCTAATGTGATTCTGCCACTATTCGCAAACTTTTTTGAGATTTATTTACAACTGCGTGAATGATATTTTTGGTTTCGCAAGCATGTAGGTATAGGCTATGGTGACCGCTTATCATCAAGCAGGCCAAATGCTTGTTTTCCACGCATTTAACATAAAAAAATATTAAAAGCTGACTGCTAATCCTGGTATCAACATAGGTTATTTTAAAATCCTTAGGTTTCTCATAATTATGATACTAATACTAGGGAAATAGCGCTGTACACTGTATTAAAAGAATGAAAGACAATAGTTGTCAATAGGCCCAGCCTGTGTATTCGCTAACTTTTTTGACATTTACAGTGTGTAACTAAAGAGAAAATTGCATATCTATCGATGTTTTTTAGCACAAGTTTCTTAGTGGCGTTATAATAGGGCATTAGTGGATCACTATAAAGCTCAGTGATTATCACTTTCATCTGCAAAAACAGTTGGTAAATAAGCCTACTGGGCCAACGAGAACTAAGCTTTTCTTTCAATTTATTGTATTTTGTAGACAATTTTAGGTAAGCTAAAGACCTCTCTACTAACAATTTTCTATACATATGCTATGCTACACAGATTCAATGAAATAAGTATAAAAATTACCTGTTGTCTTAATCTGCTAAGTGTATTTAGAGTAATGGCTCTGAGATCTATTTGTCTAGGTACAATTCGTTGTCGAAACATATTGAGCAAAAATCCCATCAACCTCTGGTGATCGTCTGGGGTGAACCCATAAAAATGTTGGAAGTCCAATATCACAACCTGAAACGTGTGAAGATTTTCTGGTGTATTTCCGAAGCTGGATAAAAGATAAATTCACCAGAAACTTTTTAAGGAATAGTAAGGCCTGATTTCATCCTAGCCTAGACTGATGTCGGTCGTGTACATCGTACTGTCGTTTTCTAGGTTAATTAATACTATTCTGCTCCCCTAGCATGAGCACCACGATATGATATATCATCATCATCATTGACCCATGCTTGTCCACTGCTGGAAATAGGTCTCCCCTAATGCACGCAATGGATCCCGATTTTGATATATATCGCGTTTTTAACTGTCAAATTTCTATGGAGTTTGACAGTAAGACGCGATAAAAAACGTGATATAATGTAAATTAAGGTGCTCATGCTACAGGGACTGGACTGACATCAGTGTAGGAGAATTGACAATCAATAGAATCGACGACAGAAAATCTTGCAAAAATAACAAGCTTTACGTGCTGTGACACCTATGATTTGCAACTCCTCCTTTCAAATCAACTTCTTGGAGCACTTCAGGTGCTTACCGCTTCCACCAGTTAAACCCCACCGGTCTAAACGCTCTGTCATGCATGCTCTATGATTATCATGGGACATGATTAGAGTGCTGTAGTCAATAACTTTTTTTTGGCAGTTGCAGCTAACTGGGCAAGAGCTACATAGAGTGATACTATATGTAATACTATAAATAATGTACATTGCCCGCAACTATGTTCACATGGACTTTTTACTTTGAAAACCCCCATATTTCAATATCTTAAATGAGAATAAATAATTTCAGAAAATTGAGTAATTTTTCTGTTTAAATATTTACCAATTCTACCACATCTATGTGCCAAAGGAGACTGGATGAAAAATCCAAGGTTCAGTAAGGTTAAGGTTACTCAAAAAACATAATTATGTATTTTTGATGATATTGCTTGGTTTGATGATAGGGAGAAAATAATGGAATCTTTCGTGCAAATCATGTAAATTGCTTAATGAAATCAAATTAAAAAAAACAATGTAGGCTGTCACAAGCACTGTAACGTCGTATCTACGCCGTCACATACATAGATAAATAATATATGGTTTGACATCCGTCACTTAAGGATTTTCCCTATTTTTTTTATAATAAACGAAACACATCTTTAAAAATGGTCTTAATTTCATAAAACATTAAAATAAATACGTAATAATTGTTATTCTAAATTTAAGAAAACTTTTGTAATTTATGGTTAGTCCATGCCCAAATTTAAATTTTAATGCGCCAACACTGAGACTCGCGGCGTTTTTTTGGAAGTGCGACCTGGCAACATTACTTTTCGGTTCTTTGCAGACACGATCAGTCACTTTTAAAAATGTGAAATATAATAATAATTTATAGTTCGGTTTCTTTTTCCAAAAATGCGCTCATCGCATTTTTGCAAACTAATATTGGTGCCAATGGCCCATTAGTAAAACTTTAAAAGAGCTGCGATTGCAGGTAAGAATTAAGATTAAAATTGTCATACATAGGTATATCTAGCCATGTTGCCTGGTCTCACAAATGTCTCTTTTGTTTCAGCTCTTTAAGTGATCTTTATACTCTTTATGTGATCTTTATACTCTTTAGCTTCATCTTTAATTTTAATGATATCTTTATAAATATCATTTTGATATCCTTGACCATGGACCAGCCATAATAGTTTAAGTAAATCCAATACTTAATGTACTTTGACGCCTGGAATCCAATCTGGTATGTACACTTTCACAATAAATAATTGAAGAGGAAAACACCTTTATCATTCAACCCTAGTCAAAACTGCCTTTGAGATTAAAAGCTGATGTTCCCGTAAGTTATTCCGGACACCTGGAGACGCTACCAGCTTCCCGGCGCCCGTTACAACTCTCACTTTAAATGGAAGCTGAGAAGCTAAATCGGCTACCATCACCCGGCCATCGCCTCCAGAATTTTTCGTTCTTTTTTTGAAATAACCAACTAAATAAATAGTTTACACAGTTTTTTAATTTTTTTACCTTACAATGTCGCCTCTCACATAGGGACAGGATTTTGACTAGGATATTTTGTAACTTTGTAAGTGAAATATAGTTATTTTGCTATATCCATCATAACTTTTACATTTTGCATAACATAAATTCATTAATTTTTCATTTTTGAACTGAATGTTATTATCACATAACATTCATCGAGTAACTTTTTCCATTTTTGCTTCAAAGCTTTGTTTTGGCAAGCTTATAGCCATATTTTACTTTCATTTTAAACTAATTTGCTATTATGTAATTAGTACATAATATATTTTAGAATAAATAGATTCTGAGAAGAAAATGTGATGCTAATAACCGTTCACACAACTTTCTTTGACCATATTTAGAGATTTGACAAATTATTTGCAAATAGTCACTGCATAATATTGTTGTTTTGTTATTTAATGTGCATTTCAGCTTTCAGCAAGAAATAAATATTGTTTCATGCATAATTTACTTGTGTTAACCTATCATTTACAGAATTGTGTAAACTTAATATAAGTTCAAGTAAGTACATGTGTTTATTACTAAGTGTTTACTGAAAATAGTTTAATTGTTTAATCCTGTTGTTAATCACTTATGCACAGTGTCTATTGATCAGTTTTCTATGCAATTGATAATGCAAAATTAACTTTTTTTACAACAACAATACATAACAAGTTTTATTACATGTCAAACTTAAGTTTTGTACATTGAAGTTCAAATGTTTTGATATAGTATCAGGTTAATTCTGATATTATACTGGTTAATTCATATTCCTGAATAACTGTTATTGTTTAATTTAACTGTAAGTTTCCATAAACATTGCATTTAACTTTTCAATTTGTCAATAAATTTCCACTTAAACTTTCATTGCAAATCTTAGTATACCATGATATGAGATAACTTTTATTGCATAAAGTGTTTGTTTACAAGAATTAGTTCTTGGTAATTCTTATTTTTATTGAATAATTGATAAAATTATTAGAATTTAACTGTTAATTAATGTTAGTTTTATGAAAACAACTTAAATTTATTGGAAAACATTACAACTTGGTAGTTTTTGTTAAACTTACAATATAGTTTAATATTTTTCTGTGAAATAGAGAAAATAACTTAAGTCTTATAAGAATCTTACACTATGACGGATAAGGAGTGTCAAACTGATAAAATCATGGCAGGAACTTCATTCAATAAGACAATAGAAACCTGTATTTCATGTTATGTTGCAAATGATCATAGAACATGGCCTAAGTTCATTCCCCATGTTCAAAGTGCTATTAATAGTACTGTTAATTTGGTTACTAGTTTTACTCCAAACTTTCTTATGTTCGGTCGTGAAGTCGTGTTGAATGGGTCCTTGCATAGATATTCTTCTATAGATGACTTGTTTGATATTAATATTGAGAAACCTGACGGTTATGGTAATTTGTTAGATTCACTTAAAGATATTTTTATTAAAGTTGTTGATAATTTAGCAAAATCTTATAAAAAGAATGCTAAATTTTATAATTCGAATCGAAAAGTCATTTCCTATGACGTTGGAGATATTGTATGGAGGAGAAACTTTGTACAATCCAACGCAATTCATTTCTTTTCTTCAAAGTTAGCACCCAAATTTGTTAAGTGCAAAATAATTGACAAAATTTCAAATAATGTTTATTTATTAAAAGATTTTGATAAAAATAGTACTGGTAGATACCACATTAAAGATATTTTGAAAATATAACTTAGATAATTAGACATTTTGTTCATTTTGATAGTTGACATTTGCGGTTTTCACTTTCTAAATTTCACTTTGGTTCTTTTCACTTGCGTTTTAGAAATGGTCGACTTGTGAGATGATGAATGAGAGAAGTATAAAAGGTTGTCGACATATTGAATGGTGATGTATGAGGATTCCTAAAGCGAAGAAATAGAATCTCAGTTTTAAAATTGAATTGGTATCATTTTATTAGGCATGTTTTGGTAATTAAATTAATTTAATAATATTCTATCTGGCAATTAGATGTTTTAACTCTTTTTTGAAGAATTTGATTTTGCTTCTAGCATCATAGGATCTTATCTTAGTTTGTTTTGGATCTTCTTATTTTTATAAGATCTCATATTTTTGAGGATTTTATATAGATAACCTTTTGTTTTAAATTTCCAAGTCTTATATTATAATATTTATTATTAAAGACTTATAAACTTTTGGAGATCCTTAATACTTTATTTCTGGTCTTTATTCATTAACTAGTTTAATGGATTAGAGTTCCTTGTTTCCACGTTTATTCCTTATTAGTTTCTGTTGTTCTTCCACAATAGTCTACTAATAACGTAATAATGTTTATTTCGTTTGTATAAATAGTTAAAATTTAGGAATTACTATTTAATTTACTATTTTGTAAAGTTTGTTTAGGTGTTTGTGTTTAGTCTGTAGTCTTAAGAACTATTACACGGACGCGACTTTTAGACGGACTTTCCCGTTTTACTTTTTCCCAGTCGACTTTCCTCGATCTGTAGGTACTTTTACACCTTTAGGTGTCCCCTTTTCCCCTTTTCCATCAAGTTCATACTTGATTTGGTACAATTTATTTTATAGGTTTGCTAGACATCATTAGAATGTTCTGTGTTTTTCCTACAGCTTTGCTGGAAAAATTTCGTAGTGTTAGACTTATGACTGACATACTATTTTCCCAGACGATGTTTCATTAATAACTCGTTCTGTTTTTTTTTTCCATTTTCCCAGACGGTGTTTCATTAATGACTCGTTCTGTTTTTTTTTTTCCATTTTCCCAGACGGTGTTTTATAGATAACTCGTTCTGTTTTCTTTATGCAGCTATGCGATTATTCTATGTAGGGCGAAGGAGCCGACTACATTGAATCAGTGGTATTCGATAGTGCATTAATTTTGTGATGCATTCATTCTTTTGTAGTGCATTCCTTTTGTATTTTGAAATGCATTCATTTTGTATTAGATTGCATTTAATTTTGTAGTTACTTGATCATTCTATGTAGGGCGAAGGTGCCGACTGCATTGAATCAGTAGTATTCGGTAACACAATACTTATTTTTCCAACTCGATTATTATTGTGTTTGGTAATTTTTGTTTCTGCTCGATAATTTAGTGTAAGGCGAGGGTGCCGACTACTCTAAATCGGTTGAATCGGTAGAACATTTTTTTCTCTTTCCTATTCCACACATTTATGTGTTAAGAATTTGAAACTTTCATAAAGTTTATTTTATTAGGAATATTGTTTGTATTCGAATGTTTAGTGTAAGGCGATGGTGCTGACTACTCTAAACCAGAAGCGTTTCAATGCATAACAAGAAATCCGTATATTGGAATATTTTCTGCAATAAATTAATTTTAATATAACTTTTGTTTTCATATTTAAATTGACTTGCTGTTTTATATGGGGCGAGTGTGCCGACCATATTTAACCAGTTGCATGCCAGTCAATGGAAATTTTATTAGATTATTATAAAGTAATCATTTTTTTCTTTCCTCTTTCTTTACTGTTAGGTGTAGTTGGATGTTATAAAAATAACATTCGTTATTTTTATAAAATCTAGTGGGGGGGAATTGTAACGTCGTATCTACGCCGTCACATACATAGATAAATAATATATGGTTTGACATCCGTCACTTAAGGATTTTCCCTATTTTTTTTATAATAAACGAAACACATCTTTAAAAATGGTCTTAATTTCATAAAACATTAAAATAAATACGTAATAATTGTTATTCTAAATTTAAGAAAACTTTTGTAATTTATGGTTAGTCCATGCCCAAATTTAAATTTTAATGCGCCAACACTGAGACTCGCGGCGTTTTTTTGGAAGTGCGACCTGGCAACATTACTTTTCGGTTCTTTGCAGACACGATCAGTCACTTTTAAAAATGTGAAATATAATAATAATTTATAGTTCGGTTTCTTTTTCCAAAAATGCGCTCATCGCATTTTTGCAAACTAATATTGGTGCCAATGGCCCATTAGTAAAACTTTAAAAGAGCTGCGATTGCAGGTAAGAATTAAGATTAAAATTGTCATACATAGGTATATCTAGCCATGTTGCCTGGTCTCACAAATGTCTCTTTTGTTTCAGCTCTTTAAGTGATCTTTATACTCTTTATGTGATCTTTATACTCTTTAGCTTCATCTTTAATTTTAATGATATCTTTATAAATATCATTTTGATATCCTTGACCATGGACCAGCCATAATAGTTTAAGTAAATCCAATACTTAATGTACTTTGACGCCTGGAATCCAATCTGGTATGTACACTTTCACAATAAATAATTGAAGAGGAAAACACCTTTATCATTCAACCCTAGTCAAAACTGCCTTTGAGATTAAAAGCTGATGTTCCCGTAAGTTATTCCGGACACCTGGAGACGCTACCAGCTTCCCGGCGCCCGTTACAACTCTCACTTTAAATGGAAGCTGAGAAGCTAAATCGGCTACCATCACCCGGCCATCGCCTCCAGAATTTTTCGTTCTTTTTTTGAAATAACCAACTAAATAAATAGTTTACACAGTTTTTTAATTTTTTTACCTTACAGCACCCATGAATGTTTAGAAGCTCAATATTCAAGGATTTACCTCTCCTGGATGAGAATCAACAAATTGTTTGACTTGATTCAGAGATTCTGTAATTTCATCAGCATATAAACCATGGGTAAAAAAGAAATTACTTGAACCTGGTTTAGTTGCCAGACGCAGGTCTAGATATCTGAAAAAACATACCTATGTAATTATTTTTTCTCAATATTTAAAAATTGACAATGCATACTCAATTATACATAGAACTATTATACTGAATTACTTTAATATTTCCAAGGTTATTATATATTAACTTTAAAAAAATATATGTTAGTGGTTTATGATTGATGGTTTTAACAAAAGCCTTTGTCTTTATGTAAGTAAACTTTACTTATTTTGACTTCAGTAAAAATAGTTGTATCTTTATTTTGAGTATTAAATTTTTGGATTAATAAATCTACAGAAAATTTTACAAAAAATCTATTATGAGGTAAATCAAACAAGAAAATATTTATTAAATTATTCCTTTCCACCTAAGGTATGTGAATTGAAATAATTGTGTGCTCTAAGTTTGTGTGTGTGAAGATGAAAACCATTTGGGTTTTATTCTGAATGTTATTAGTACCTAATGCCTATTAGGAGTTGCTGCATAGTATCTAGGGCTTGGGTTACAGTCCAACGTATGATCGTACCTCGGAACAGAGGATACAGTCTGTGTAATATTGGCTCTGCATCGGGTGCCAGCCCACTTGATGCATTAATGCCAAACGTCATGGAATCATGACTTCCTGAAATTATATATAACATAAGAATAATTCAAATTGGAGGCTTATTATCCAACTTTAACTGTTTCTGCGATCCCCTTTAAAGCTAAAGCAAGTGTCAATGTAAGAAGAGTAACTCTTTCCCAAAAATAAAATGAGTCGGAATGTCAATGTGATAAGCAGTAAAAGTTACATAATAAGGCCCTGGGTATGGGTATAAATAAATACAAACTGAGTATGTAATCTGCATGCTTAATAAAAAATTTAAGCGTACAGATTTCTGCATCAAATTAACCCTTGTGATATTATTAGTTATTATTATTGCCATTTACTCATATTATAGGGTAAAGATTCTTAATATAATTCAAAATTAAAAACGCTCAATAAAATTATTAAAGATATAACTTGATAAATATCTATTTTGATACATAAGACAGTTATGGTATAATATGCCAGGTTACTCATTCATAAATTAAAAACGATTTATTAAAATAACTTACCAGGAATGGCTAAATATATAAATGGAATGTCCTTTAGTTGATCTGGTAAATTTCCCATCCAATGTTCTAAATTGATAATCTGGGCAGTGCTTTCTTCCGACATTATTACAGCCACTGAAAATATTATTGGTTAATCATAAATAAACAAAAACAATTTTTTTACTTTCGCTTTTTACCCTAATTTACTTGAAAATTAAGTTGAAAGTGAATTCCTACCTACTGAACTTTGTCTTTGTCGAGCCCTTTCAATATTAACCACATCACGTCATCTGTTATTTGCCTAATTTAGAACGTCTTTTAATTTCTCAAAGTTCTTATGTACTTGCATGTTGCTGAGATTTTAGCATAAAACGAGCTCATTTTCATTGATAAAATGTACAATTTACAAGGGGATTGATCTGATGATTTTTTAAATTTTTTCGTTTCCCTAAATTTACGCGATATCTTTAGATCAGATACTGAAATGCATCAAGGATATCTATTTCAGGAACCTTCTGAAATAGGCCGGTTAATACAAATTGTTGTGCATTTGCGTTTGTACGTCAAATATCTAAATGTCAATGTCAAAGACTGAAATTGCGTTTCGTTTCTTGTCGGTTTCATGATTTACCACAAAAGTAAACATCATGTCAAAATATTTTTTAATATTTTATAATCAATGGCCGAGAGAATAAAATAATTTATAATAAATTATGTTTTAGAGTAGAGTGACAAATTTACCAATCACTACGCAAACACCAGGGGGCCAATCGCCTAACGGAAATGCTTTGGGAAACGCTAACGCTTACGATTTTATATTGTTATTTCTAGCCGCCTGAGGTGTTCGAATACCTCACGCTCATTTTTTTTAACATTGTTATTACCAATGCAAAAGAAAAAGAAAGAGTGCGAGGCATTTGAATACCTCAGGCGGCTAGAAATAACAAAATAAAATGGTAAGCGTAAGCGTTTTCCAAAGCATTTCCGTTAGGCGATTGGCCCCCTGATATCAGGAACAATAACTTGAACAATACCATCTTATGTACTTAGATTAAAACAAAGAAACCCTTTTTGTTTTAATCTAAGCTTATGTATCGTGCAGGCCATAAAAAAAAAAGAAGAAGAAGCTTATGTATTAATTTTGTTTTAGAGTATATATATAAATCTTCTTTTGTGTCTCGTTTTACTCGAATTATAGATTTTTTCCTATTCAACTTTTAAAATTCCATAGTTTTGTTTTGTAGTATGTACAAAAATATGTTGTGTTGAAAATTGCCAATGCATCAGTAAAGTCATGGAAAAGCTTCATGCCTTTATCTATTTAGTGTGGGTAATTCTTTTAATCTAATGTAAAGTAGGTATACTAAAAAGTTACTGTGTTTAATTTGCACAAAATCATGTTTCCAACAGGATTTCAATTCTGCGCGCGCAGTGGGTCGCGTTGTGTCTTTATGATTCCTGCACGTTCGTAAATGGATGAGGCGTTTGTTTCAAAGAGCCGATAAGAAGCTTAGGTAGCTACCTGTTGTTAGACTTGATGGACCGTTATAAAGTTTTTTATTTCGTAATATCTGTATTTGATATTACATTAGTCGTCGTAACCTAGTTATATAATAGGTATCTATCTATAAAAATATTATAATATACAGAAAATAATATGACCTACTTGCCTTACTTTTAACTATTTAGGTCTAGCAATTGGTATAGTTTTTTGTACATTTTGAGATATTCGGAATCGAGAAAAAGTAAATAACAACACTATTTATTAAAAACAAATATAAATCATACCTAGGACAAAAAGTGAAACTCCCAAGAGCATATTTTTTAACACACGTCTAAAGACTGTCGGCAGAATACACTGGTGCTCACTTTTATTCGGCTACCCACTGATTTTGACACTACACTCTGTTTCGAACAACCGTTATATGAATACCTTAATATAATTGATCAATATAAATTCTCGCCATGTGGCGTGTTTGAACGCTCAATGCGAGATGTAACTAATGAACTTATGCAGCTCAACCGTAGTAGTACATAGTCAGCACATTGTAAATGCAAAAAAGGAACATAACTCAGTACGATTGCTTTGTTTCGAATCTTCACGTGGACTGCTCAGTCGGATAAGGTGAAAGGTAAAGCTCCTAGATATTCTTTTTTATCACAAGTGACACTTAATGCGTTAATTTTAACGTTAATGTAACCTTGATTTTTTATCGAGTTTCCCATAACTCGAACTTGTTTTGCAAGAAAAACCATTGTACGTACTTAGTACGGATTAGTAGTAGTAACACTTTTTACGCAATTACAAAGTCTGTATCGATTTAAAAAAACCTTGTTGTAAATGCCTTTAAAAAAAACTTAGTACCCATGTAAAAAGTTTCAAAATGAATTTACTGTCGCAGAATCGATTGACGACCTCCGTGGCCGAGTGATATGTACGCCGGTGTTTCATGGTGTCGCCTAGTCGAGAAGTCCCGGGTTCTAATCCCTGTGGGGGCAAATGTTAGTATGATGAATACGAGCATGTGTACCTTGGTCATGGATGTTTATATTTCTATCCGTTACCCTAGCAGTCAGTGATTTATATAGCAGCTTTTATTTGACATTCGCACCAGACCCTAACTTAGGTAAAGTGGCAACAATATAAGTATAGAGACAATAGAAATACATAAGCCAAAAGTTATAAGTTGAGAATAGTCTGATAAGACTACAAACCGGATGTGAGTAACGTAGCACTTCCGGTTTTCGAGAAAACACGTGATTTCTATTTCAAACGAAACCACACAAAATCTCCGAAGTTCTCAATTAATTAAATACATTTTTTTTTTTTTTGGTGAACATTTGGTTCACTGGTTTGCTAGTTTTATATAATCACAAAAAAACGCAACGTCTTTGAACATTATGTCAAAACGTTAGTCAATTAAGAACATAAATAAGAAGTCACCTCTATAATAAACGAATAGAATATTATGTACAAGTGTAAATTCAATTCAAGAAGGGTAGGGCATAGGCGATTTATAATAATATAGCGGATTTGCTGCTCAATTGCAGCGCTCGTCTGGGGAAGTATCCTCTATCCTACAGAAAATCAGAGTATAAATTACACCTATCGTGTGAAGGTAGTGGTTTTTTTTATAGATGAGTAATGTTCCACACATGTTCCACTTCCACGGCTCCACGATGTAGGGAATAAGGGCATAGTAGGCCTAGGCAACATCACGAATGATACACTGGTTTATCAAGCATCTATAGGCTGTGGCGACCGCTTTATCATCGGGAGGGCCAAATGCTTTTTTGACACCCTTTTTAACATTAACAAAAAAGTTTGATATCATCATGTAGTCATATGACTCAATAATTTAGTGGAATAAATAGTTAATTTGCTTACTAAGCGATGTATGCGCGATGATGATGTGCGATGTATATACTATAGGTACCTACCTACTTTGGATTCTAATTGTGCCACTAAACTTCACAAAGTAGTAATAATTATGGACGAAGCAAGCAATACACAAAATATTCCCGTTGGCATATTATTAAGGAAAGTAGTAGTATTGTGGTATGGTGTGTCACATTCAAATGTTGATAGGGTTGCCAGTTGTCCGGTATTTACGAGGCCTGTCCGGTAAAAAATAAATGGTCATACCGGACAGAACAATTTCCGGTATTTTGAGGAAAGTCGGTACTACTGGTCACAAGGCATACTCACCTGGCAACCCTAGTTGTTGATGACGTGATGAGAAATACCTAATAGAGTAGTTAAAAAACTCTTCAAAAGCTGATAAAACAGCGTTAGAAAAAGGCTTCGTTCCTGGTTAAAAAATCTGGGGGACTAATTTGGACAAAGCACGTCTCTATTACGGCAGGAGCCTCAAAAATTAAAATACCATCTGCCTAACAGCCGATAAGAGTGGAAGTCAAACGTCATGAAGAAGAAAAGACGACTAATTGTGAACCTTCCCACTTCTTTTTTATTTAAGTCGGTTTAAACAAATTTTAATCTGCAATAAAAAAAACTCTTACCTAGGATTTAAAATAATCTGAATCTTAGCCATCGCAACTAAGCTTGCAAGTTTTAGATACATATTTGCTTGCGTAATTCTATATACATGTTACATTTACCTTGATCATAAAGACCTAGACTCTTATTTATATTCCTGCAGTAACGAAAATGCCTTGAACTACTGTAGAATGGAGTTAGGCCATTCGGTATAATTATGTTTACTTGCGTTTTGTTCGTATGTGCATAAGATGATACGCATGCGATATTGTAGTGCTACAATATTGACTTGATTAACCTTAATACCTCTGCTTTACAAAACTAATGTTTTAAAAAAATGTACGTACAGAAAGGCCATGAAAATGGACTTATTTACACTGCGAATCAGGCCGCGTTGTCGAGTAGAAATTTAATTCAAAGTGCCTTCTGTACTTCGTCAAACATGTTCACCAAACGAAAAAACTATTTATAAAAATCCGAAAAAAATTCTCCAAAATCAACATGGAACTTATTTAGTCAGGTTAGCTCAGGGAGTCAGAAAAAAATGCTTAGGGTGTAAATTGGGAAAACCGGAAAAATAGGAATAATGAAAACTTAACAAATCGCGTTTTATACTCTTTCAAAGGTGTTTTATTAAAAAACACTTGACTAAGCGCGTGTCGTGCGTGCCATGCGCATTGCATGGTTCCGCAGTTGTCCGTTGTTTGAACAATATATTTCAGGAGTTTTTTTTATTCGATATACCTATTATATGGATAATTATTTGAAAAACGTTCTTCGCGCAACTTGCATGGCAAAATTACATATTGAATTTTTAGAAAATATAAAATTATTACTTTAAGGAAGACGCAATAATAAGATAAAAATAAATAAATAAATATTTCAAACACTCACACCTATTAGCCTAGCCCCAAAGTAAGCACTGTAAAGCTTGTATTATGGGATACTAGGGTAACGGATAGAATACATATACAGTTCATATGTAAGTACATTTACATTGATATACATATTAAACATCCATGACTGGAGTACAAAATGCTCATATTCATCACACAAACATCTGCCCCCACCGGGATTCCAACCCGGGACCACTCGAGTCGGCGAAACCCGGCGTACAAACCACTCGGCCACGGAGGTCGTCTAAAAATGTTTTGAATTGATATGATATTGTTATGAATGATGTAGTGTATGGCCACATTTACATAGTGCATTACGTTCTATTACTAATGTTTGTTTGTGGCAAATTTAAAAACTATTTTTATTAAAATATAAATAAAACTGTTTTTATTTTTTAGTATATAAAATTTAATAATTCAATCCTATGGCGATTGTAGTAGAACTTTTATAGAAATAAAAAGATAGTTTAACCAAACTTAAAAACCTTTTATTAATAAATTGTTGTTTATCTAATACAAAATAACTCCTCCTCTGGCTCGAACACCTGCGGAGATCCTCCTGGGCATGCTGAGGATGCCATTCTTGAACAGCAGCTTCCCTGAGCTGCGGCACTGTCTGGGGTGGTGGCTGCCGGTTCCAAACAGCTCGCTTAAAAGCATCCCACGCGTGCTCAATTAGATTTAAGTCAGGAGAGCCGGCAGGCCAGTCTAACCTTGTGATTTCGTATTCTCGGAGAGCAGCATTGACTCGTTGAGCTCGATGTAGGGATGTGCTGAAGCATTATCGTCAACCAGTACAAATTGGTGCCTATGGTTTACTCAGAAAGGTCTGACGATTCTA